CGGGAGTCGGGGCCCCGCGCGGCGCGGGCGGCCTCCCGGTGGGCTCACCTGGGCCGGGGTCTCGGGGCGGAAGCTGGCGGGAATCCCGACCCCGGAGTTTCTAGATGGAGCCTCCGGTCCTGTGGGGTCGGGGCGTCCGAGGCGCATCAAAGACTCGAGCCCCCCTCTGCCCGGCCAAGAGGAGCGGGAAGCCCGGGGAAGGCTGAGGTTTGTCCCGGAAGGGTTCTCCATGGAAACGGATTCTTTAAATTGCATTTGTGTAGTCAAGTGGTCGGGACGGAGCCCCGAGCAGCGCCCCCGTCCCCACCCCCCGCGCGGAGGGCGCCTGCCGCCCCAGCCGCCTCTCAATAAAGCGCCCGGGTGTCCTCAGCACTTGGCACGTCCTGAAATCTTCCATTGAGGCTTTTACGCCGACTTGTCATCTTGCTGTCAAAAGCGACCGGCATTTTTCATGAGCCAGCGAGCGTTTAATGTGTGATGCTGAGCGTCCGTGTCATTTACGCGCGGGTCCTCCGAGTGAGCCTGAGGTTAGTTACACTCGAGTTGAGTTCTAGATTTGTCCTTTGCTCAGGAGGAGCTGAAAGCGCGGTGCCCTGTGCTGTGCTTTTCACGTGAACTGGGTCAGTCGCCCATTCTCTGCAGCCACAGGAGTAGCAGTTCCGTGGCTCGGTAAGGGCATCGGTGTGCAGGCAGGAAACCTGGGCGTTCTTCCTGGTGCTGTACGTTGGTGCTGCAGTGGAGAATGACTTGGTATTGAGGACAGTTTAGCCAATCGAGTTGTTTCCAGTGCTTTGGAAAATACATAAGAATGAATTTATGTTTTTGCAGAATACATTGTCTAGTGTGCAAAGGTCACACATACTACCTGAGCTTTAAACCTTAAAGTAAGAGCCTTATAATAGATGAGAATTTTTGTTAGTCATTTTAACTCTTCGACATAAGTACATTAGGTACATTGACATTAAACAATTGAGAAGGTTTACATAGTTCGCCTGAAGAGACATATTTCTTTAAGGAAAGAAGTAGGAAGTAGTTTCACAATAATCCTGGCAAAGCACGTTTTTCTGTTTACATCTTCAGTGCAAACAAACAATTTACCAGAGAGCCTTGAAGGTCCAGACTCTAGTACATGTGTATTCTAGTACCTAGAATTGGAAGGTTATGTACATGACATTTCAGTAGCCTAATGCAGGCTTTCCAGTTCTTCTGGATATTCCCCCAGCCAAGAACTTGGAAAGCTTTTCTTTCTACGTGTTCTTTTTTTTTTTTTTTTTGTCGGTGGTGGGGCCTGAACTCTGGGCCTGGATGCTGTCCCTCAGCTCTTCAGCTCAAGGCCAGCACTCTATCACTTGAGCCACAGCGCCACTTCCAGCTTTTTCTGCTTATGTGGTGCTGAGGAATCGAACCCAGGGCTTCATGCTTGCAAGGCAAGCACCCTACCACTGAGCCACCTTTCTAGCCCCTTTCTACATGTTCTTGAAAGAGAATAAACACATATTTTCAAACTATAACCTCTTCCCTCTTCAATAGCAATATGGCTTACGTTTATTGTGCCCTCACTGTGTCCAAGCTGTAGTGTTGGGCACTGCCCATTTAATAACACATTCCATTGTCACAGCAGCTCTGGATGATGAGTGCAATGAAACACATGCCTTAAAGGTGAAGAAACAAGCCGGACACCTGTGGCTCTGTAATGCTAGCTACTCAGGAGGCTGAGATCTGAGGATCAGGGTTCAAAGCTAGCACAGGCAGAAAAGTCCGTGAGACTCTTATCTCCAATTAGCTACCAGAAAACCGGAAGTGGCACTGTGGTTCAAGTGGTACAGCACTTGCCTTGAGCTGAAGAGCTGAGGGACAGCGCCCAGGCCCAGAGTTCAAGCCCCATGACTGACCAAAAAAAAAAGGTGAAGAAACACTGTCACAGAGACATTTATGTGGCCCAGCCAGGGTCTGAACCTAGGCAGTCTGGCTCTGGAGTTTCTTATATTTTAGCCATCTCTGGTTTAAGGATAGGCTGCCAAGAAGCCGCATTCTGTTTTAAAATGTTTTAATTGTGGTAAAATTCATGTAACACAATTTATCATTCTCTTTTTTTTTTTTTTTTCTTGGTGGGTCATGGGGCTTAAACTCTGGGAGCCTGGGCATGGATCCTGAGCTCTTCAGCTCAAGGTGAGCACTCTACCACTTGGACCACAGTGCCACTTCTGATCTTCTGGTGGTCTCACAGACTTTCCTGCTGGGGCCAGCTGCGATCCTCAGATCTCAGGCTCCTGAGTAGCTAGGATTACAGACAGGAGCCACCAGTGCCTAGCTCCATTCTGCTCATTTTTAATTGTATATTAACACTATCCATCTTTAAAACTTTTTTTTTACTTTCCTAGCTTTGCATTTGTTAATCAGTAAATGTCCCCTTCCACTTGTCACCAGCTTTATTCTACTTTGTGTCTATGGATTTCTCTGTTATGATCCTTAGATGAGTACCTCATCTAAGTAGATCATACATTCTCTGTCCTTTGTCACTAGCTTATTTCCCTTAGCTTATATTGCTAAGGTTTATCCACATTGCATTCTGTGGGAAGATACCTCTCTTTTAAGGTGAAATAATACTCCATTATGTATATGTGTGTATGTACCTGTATGTCGGTGGACACAGGGTTTTCCCACCTTTTGGCTATTATGGATAATTCTGTCATGAGTGTGTGTGTGTGTGTGTGTGTGTGTGTCAATACTGCTGAACTTTTTAGTTCTTTTTTGTATATATCCAAAGATGGAATTGCTAGATCATGATTAATTCTACTTTTAATTACTAGGAGCAATCCTCAGTGAGTTTTGAAAGCCGCTTTGAGGGATAGGCTTTGAGGGGTTCCTAGGCTTATAAAGGAAGAGCCTTTGTCCCCAAGAAGCCACTATTCTTAGGAGGAAAGGCAAGCAGACTGGGGGGAAGAGTGGGGGTAACAAGAATCAAGTTCCCCATGTCCTTAGGAGTAGAGGCTGCCTTGCAGGTCGGGAGGGACTGGTGTGAAATCCCAGGGCCTGGGGAGTGAGTTGTGCATCTCTTGAAGGGGGGGGGGTCTGTGTGGACATTGAGTTCTCTTCCAGCATTTGTCCATGTTGCTTGCTTCAGTTTCAAGTACTTCAGAGGTATTTAGGAATCGCAGTGAATAACTTATTGACTGCCTATGTATGTTATACTGTTTTCCTGTTGAACTCGAACTCAGGGCCTTGCACTCACAGCTGGCTTGGCTGGCACTGCCACTGGAGCCACCCCTCCAGCTTTGCTTTTTGCTGCTGATTTGGAGATGGAGTCTGAAAGACTTTTCTGTCGAGGCTGATTTTTGAATCACAATACTTTCAGTCAATAGCTAGGATTACAGGGATAAGCCACCAGCTCTGGCTTCATTACCATTTCTATAGTGCCTGCTCTCTTTACGTCTGTTCCTAGATCCCTCGGTCAGCTGTAAGTCTGAACTGTTTTTTTTGTGGTTTTTTTTTTTTAATGTATTTCCTGGTAAGTTGCAGACATTGGTATACTTTCACCGAAGAATGTATGAAATGCATATGTCTTGTACATGGGATGAATGCATATTGTGTGCACATACATGATATCACACGGTGTATACAATCTATAGCTTTCTCTTTTCATGTCTTTAATTGTAACCAAACCCTGATTTTTGTAATTGTGTAGTTTTTCATAACATGTGTCAGTTCATTTAGCTACTAATGGACACTTAGAATGTCATTCTTGCTGCAGTAGATACACTTGGCAGACATATAATATAGAGACCTTAATACTGGAAATGAGTACATTGGAAGTTTTAAAGATGCCTATAAGTTGCTGACCAGATAGACTGTACCAATTAATTTCTACCACATGGTTTTTACCCACCCTGACCAACGTAACTTTTAGTCTTTTTAATAATTGTTTTATTGTTACTATAAAGGTGAGGTACACTGGGGTTACAGTTACATAAGTCAGGTAAAGAGCACTTCCTTTTTGGACAATGTCACCCCTTCCCTCACTCTCCCAATTTTTTTCCCTCCCATCCTCACCTACAAATTGTATGGCTCATATTCAATATATTGTCTAGTTAATACCAACTTGTAATTTTTGCCAGTGGCTTTGGGAGATATGTATACTTCTTTGTTTACATTTCTTTGCTGCTCATTTTTAAGTTTTTAGAGGGTGAGGACTGGTGTCCTAAGCTGCCTTCCTCTGCTTAGTTGAATGAATGAAAGCTGACAAAACATTCCTCCTTTACTAGATTGAGGCTACAGAAAAGATGAATAGTGTAAGTGTGTGATAGGTTAAAGCTGAAGTTGCTCAATCCTTGTGCTTTAAATAAAGGGACTCTTCTTTCATTGGTTATGAAGTGGTTTAAAGTCCATACCCTGGAGGCAGATTTTCAGATTTATATCCCACCTTTGCTTCTATAGCTGTGTAACTGAGCCATTCATTTAATTTTTAGTTTCTCATAGAAAACGAACGGTAGGGCCAGGTGCCAGTGACTCACGCCTGTCATCCTAGCTACTCAGAGGAGGCTGAGATCTGAGGATCATGATTTAAAGTCATCCCAGGCAGGAAAGGCCGGCCATGAGACTCTTATCTCCAGTTAGCCACCAGAAAACTGGAAGTGGCTCTGTGGCTCAAGTAGTAGAGCACTCCCATTGAGCTGAAGAGCTGAGGGACAGCGCCCACGCCCAGAGTTCAAGCCCCATGAACTGACCGAAAAAGAAAATGGAGGGTAGGGGCTGGGAAGGTTTTTGGCCCAGTGGTAGAGTGCTTGCAGCCCTGGGTTCGATTCCTCCATACCACATAAACAGAAAAGGCCAGAAGTGGTGCTGTGGCTCAAGTGGCAGAGCCCTAGCCTTGAACTGAAGAGCTCGTGGACATTGCCCAGGCCCTCAGTTCAAGCCCCAGGACTGGCAAAGGAAGGAAGGAAAGGAAAAAGAGAGAATAGGGTAGAGCAGGGTATGGCAGTGCATGAGGAGACCCTGTCTCAGGAAAAAAGAAGAGTCAGGCACCCATGGCTCACACCTGTAATCCCAGCTACTCAGAGGCTGAGATCTGAAGATCATGGAATCTAGCTCAGGCTGAAAAAGTCTATGAGATTCTTCTCTCCAGTTAACCAACAAAAAGCCAGAAGTAGAGCTGTGGCTCAGGTGGTACAGTGCTAGCTAGCCTTGAGTCTAAAAGCTAAGGGAGCTGGGCTCTGGTAGCTAACACCTATCATCTTACCTATCAAGAGGCTGAGATCTGAGGATCATGCTCTAAAGCTAGACTGAGTAGGAAAGTTGAGATTTCCATCTCCAATGAACCACCAGAAAACCAGTGGTGCTCTGGCTCAAAGTGATAGAGTGCTAGCCCTGAGTTCAAACCCCACGACCAACAATAACAACAACAAAAAGGAATGAAAAGGTAAGGAGACAGTTCTGAGTTTAAAAAGCCCCAGCTTCAGCACACAAAAACACCAAAAATTAAACTCCTAAGCAAAACCACAATTACTTTATAAAGGAAATAATACTTTAGTAGCAAAAAAAAAAAAGAGCATGAAGTCAAAATGATTCCATTTTCCTATAGGCTGGTCCATAAGCCAACATTTATGCATTTTTTTTGTTTTGTTTTTTAATATTTTTTGGCCAGTCCTGGGGCTTGAACTCAGGGTCTGGTCAGTATCCCTGAGCTGCTTTTGCTCAAGGCTAGCACTCTATTACTTAAGTCATAGTGCCACTTCGGCTTTTTCTGTTTATGTGGTACTGAGGAATCAAAGTGTGTGAATATTTGTTGCATGCACCTGCACCTGCCCCCAATACTAGAGATAGAGCTCTGGGCCTTGCACTCTTGCTTGGCTTTTTTTCTCAAGACTGGTGGTACTCTAGTATTTTTTTTCCATACTCTTATGTTGTACTGCTAATATGCATTCGATTTACTGTTTATAAAGTATTGGCTTTTGTTTTTAGAGATTAGTCTTAGAGGTGTTTATAGAGATTAATCTTAAAGGAGTTAAATATCTAGGTTTTAAACCAATCGAAGCCAAGGCTGAATTGTAGTTTAGGCCATGGATAGAAGCCACAGAGAAGTCTTTAAGACTTTTTAATCTATCCATTTATGAGACTCAGTGCCTCATCCCAAAATAGGTTGAGGTTTAGTGTTCATAGCTAGTTGACAGGTGGCTCTGCAGGTTTCAAATGGCATGTGTAAATCTGTATTTCCAACCCCTTAATGTGTCTGAAATATTTTGAAATACTAAGCTAAATATTTTGCTTCATACCAGGGAGACACTAGTTAAGGCACTTAAGATTATTTCCCCTTCAGAGACTGTCAGCAGTAGTTTTCAATTGTAGTTAATTGAGTTCAGCACACACAAACTGGGACAGCAGCCCTTGCAGACCACAACATATTTGTGGGTTGTGGTTTATAAAATACAAATATATATGTATCTTCATATTAGCTGGACACGGGCAGGTCATACCTGTAATCTTAGCTACTCAGGAAGCTGAGATCTGAGGATTGAAACCAGCCTGGGCAGGAGAGTTGGTGATACTCTTATCTCCAAACAAGCCAGAAGTAGAGCTCAAGCGAAAGAGCTCTAAAGTTAGTGAGAAAGCTCAGGGACAGTGGCCAGGTCCTGAGTTCAAGCCCCAGGACCAGCATGCACACACGTGCACATAGGTTAAGTAGCTAGCTTGCAGATGAAACCATTGTGCTACTGTATCAGTGTCCTTCGAGGGTTTTGAGGTGTGAGGAAAACCTCAAGTCTTGTTTCAGAGTTGAGGACCGGCAGCTGTGGTGAGCGGAGCAGAGGCGGCTGCTCAGGGTCCTGTGGAGACTGTTGCTTTAAGGGTTGTCATCACTGAAAACATGGCGAGGCTTGGTTCCTCCTTGTCTTCAGATGGCTGGAACCTTGTGTCTTAATCATGGTGCATCATACACCAGTCATACTGACATTGGGCAAGCTCTGAACACCTCAGCTGCACTACCGGGCAAGCTGCTATTAGACTTGTATGTTCTGATGGGAAGGAAAATAGCTCCGACAAAAGTGGCGCGAACTGACAAACTCCCCCACCCCCTTTTTTGTGTGACACATTTGTCACAACAATATTTAAAAAATTAGATTCCCAGTGGATGTGGTCTCACAGGCCCAAAATCTCAGCACTCAAGAGGCAGGAGGATTGCAAGTTCAAGATCAGCCTAGGTTACTTAGGGAAAGCCTATATAAACAATATAGTAAGTTGGGTGTTGGTGGCTCATGCTTGCAATCCTAGCTACTCAGGAGGCTGAGATCTGAGGATTGCAGTTCAAAGCCATCCAAGCCAAGCCAGGCAGGAAAGTTCATGAGACTCTAAGACTCCAATAAACCACCAGAAAGCTGGGAGTTGTGCTGTGGCTCAAGTGGAAGAGCACTAGCCTTGAGCTGAAGAGCTGAGGAACAGCACCCAGGCCCAGAGTTCAAGCCCCATGACTGACAAAAAATAATTAATGGTGGTGATGATGATGATCTATGTAACTTGAGGATAGGGATGAGAGAAGAAATCTGTGGGAAAGGGAAGGGAAGGTATGACATTGTCCACAAAAAGAAATGTACCTAGGGCAGGGAAGGTGGCTCAGTGGTAGAGTGCTTGCCTTGCATGCATGAGGCCCTGGGTTCGATTCCCCAGCACCACAAACAAAAAGAAAAAAGCCAGAAGTGGCTCTGTGGCTAAGTGGTAGAGCGCTAGCCTTGAGCTGAAGAGCTGAGGGACAGCGCCCAGGCCCAGAGTTCAGGCCCCACGACCGCCCCCCCCAAAAAAGAAATGTACCTGACTTATGGTAACCCTCTATATAACACCTTATTAATAACAATAGTTATATTTAAAAATAAATGTAAAAATAAACTTAAAAAACGAAAATACTAGGTTTTGAAGGTACTTAAGAAGTGAATTTTTTATAGCATGTGAATATGTAATTTTAATATTAGGAATGATAGCATTTGAGTAGAGTAACTGGACATGTACACACACGCACACAGCATATACACATGGCATGCACATGGATGGATGTACTGGACCCAGCAATAACCCCCATGTGAAGTAGACCCAGTTGGAGGTCGGACTCTCTCTGAACTTAGGCAAGGGGTCCTAAGCCTTCCTCATCTTACGGCAGTGAGAGCTCATTGCTGGGCTGTGTTTGGTTCCTGCAGGTTTGTGGTGCATTCCTGAGCATGAGTGCAGAATGAAGCGACGGTTGGATGACCAGGAGTCACCGGTGTATGCAGCCCAGCAGCGTCGGATCCCTGGCGGCACGGAGGCTTTTCCTCACCAGCACCGGGTGCTGGCCCCCGCCCCTCCTGTCTATGAAGCGGTCTCCGAGGCCATGCAGTCGGCCACAGGGATCCAGTACTCAGTCACGCCCAGCTACCAGGTGCGAGGGAAGGACGTGGGCCGTCCCTTTCACTTACATTTTTATTAAGCTGTGCATTTGATATAAAGTTGTACGGGAAATGTGTTAAGTATAAAACAATACACTTGTACAGTATACTTCTGCTGTGTGCTCATTATCACATTAATTTAAGATAAACATCAAGGGCTGGGAATGTGGCTTAGTGGTAGAGTGCTTGCCTTGCATACATGAAACCCTGGGTTCAGTTCCTCAGAAAATAGAAAAAGCCGGAAGTGGCGCAATGGCTCAAGTGGTAGAGTGCTAGCCTTGAGCAAAAGAAGCTCAGGGACAGCGCCTAGGATGGAGCAGGGGCACAAGAGGAAAAAATATAAGTCCTGGCTGTTGAATTTCACTGTCCTTTCCTGCTTCCTTCTTTTCTTTCCCTTTATAGGCATAGCAGCTAATGGGAACTTTTGGTGGTTCATTACCTGTACTTTCTTCAGGTTTTTCCCATTCCATTTTCTCTTTTTCATGTATGGAAACATTCCCCCCCCCTCCGTTGAGTATTTCTGGGATTTGAACTCAGCCTTGCACTTGCTTGGCAGGTGTCTTAACCATTTGAGTCACAGCCCTTTCCCTTTTGTTTTTATTTATTGAGAAAAAATAACTCACTTGGAGACTCAGTTGCCTCCACCTGCATAATAGTAGATATTAACAGACATGTGCTGCCTTCTCCTCCTCTTCTTCTCCTTCTCCTTCTCCTTCTGCTTTTTTTTTTTTTTTTTGGTTGGTCATGGGGCTTGAATTCAGGTCCTGGGCACTGTCCCTGTGCTTTTTTGTTCAAGACTACCACTTTGAGCCACAGCTCCACTTCCAGCTTTCTATTGGGTATAGTAGTGATTGTATCTTTTCCACTCTAGTATAAAATATGTGATTATATTCAGTGTTTATACCCATTCTATGATGGTACTGTAGGTTTTTGCTCATACAAAAGAATAGCCGTGAATATTGTTGTGGGGCTTGAACTCTGGGCCTGGGTGCTATCCCTGAGCTTTTCAGCTTAAGGCTAGTGCTCTACCACTTGGGCCACTTCTGGTTTTATGGTGGTTAATTGGAGATAAGGGTCTTATCAAAACTTGCCGGGGCTGGCTTTAAACCTCAGATCCTCAGGTCTCTACCTCCTGAGTAGCTAGGATTATAGGCATGCGGCACCAGAGGCCGTGAATATTCTTTTTTTAATTTTTTGGGTCCGGTCGTGAGGCTTGAACTCTGGGCCTGGGCACTGTCCCTTGGCTCTTCAGCTCAAGGCTAGCACTCTACCGCTTGAGCCAGAGCTCCACTTCCAACTTTTTTCTTTTTGTTTATGTGGTGCTGAGAATCGAACCCCAGGGCCTCATGCATGCAAGGCAAGCGCTCTACCACTGAGCCACCTTCCCAGCCCCTGCCGTGAATATTCTTATGCATCTGTAGCTACTCATAGCTACAACTCATGAAAATAAGAGATAAGATCCAACTCCTTATATAGCCAGGCTGGCCTCAAACTTGATCCTCTGCCTGAGCTGGGATTATAGGTATGTGCCACTACACTGTTAGAAACTTTTATAGTAAACGGGCATCATAATTTTATATCTGTAATATCTGATATTAAGAATTATGAGCTTATGTGTTTTTATTTCACTTTTTAACCCCTCCTGGGCTTGAATTTAAGTCAGAGCCTTAGACACTGTCCCTGAATTTCTTTTGCTCAAGGCTAGCACTCTTCTACTTGAGCCGCAGTGCCATTTATGACTTTTTCTGTTTATGTGGTACTGAGGAATAGAACCCAGGGCTTCATGCATGCTAGGCAAGCACTCTACCACTAAGCCACATTCCCAGCCCCTTATTTCACTTTTCTAGTAGTAATCCATTTTCCTGGCATTTTATTAAAGTAATGGCCTAGACCTAATGTGTGGCTCAAGTAATGAGAGCATAAGCCGTGAGCAACAGTAATGGCCCATGGCAGATTGACATTGAAGGAATCAGGGGACAGAAGTGTAATTCGGTGGTAGTACAGCTTGCCTTGCCTGCGCAATGCCCTGGGTTTCATCCCCAGCACCACACTAGAAATAAAATTGAAGAAATAAAAAGAAAACTTGTAATTTCACCACAAGTAATTTAGCATTTAAGTTACGTGATTTTTTTTATTGTTTATTTGTTGGTCGTGGGGCTTGAACTCTGGGCCTGGGCGCTGTCCCTCAGCTCTTTAGCTCAAGGCTAGTGTTCTACCACTTGAGCTACAATGCCACTTCCAGTTTTCTGAGTCTCACGGGAAGGAAAGCCTGGGCTGGCTTTGAACCATGATCCTCAGATCTCAGCCTCCTGAGTAGCTAGGATTACAGGCTTGAGCCACTGGCACCCGGCAAGTTATGTAATTTTTATAGTTGAAGAAAAGCTCTGTCATGAAGATGGGCTGTTATTTATTTAGCTAATTCTCTTTTCTGGAAAATTTAGGCTTTTTTGTTTTGTGGCAGTACTTAGGCTTGAACTCAGCACCTACACATGGTCATTAGCTTTGAAAATTTGCATTCCTAATGTATAATTTTCATGCATGCCAGAGACATGCAAGCATGCTTTGTGCATAGGAGCATTTGGGGAAGAGTGCACAAGCCCTGAGATTTGTCTGTTTTGCCTCGCAGGTTTCAGCTGTGCCCCAGAGCTCTGGCAGTCATGGGCCCGCCATCGCAGCTGTCCACAGCAGCCACCACCACCCGACGGCCGTCCAGCCCCACGGAAGCCAGGTGGTTCAGAGTCACGCCCACCCCGCCCCGCCCGTGGCACCCGTGCAGGGACAGCAGCAGTTCCAGAGACTCAAGGTGGTACTCGATTCCTTCTTTTGTCTGTTTATCTTTAGCAGGAAGCAATCAGCCACAGCCTGTGAGTGGTGGAGTCACAACTTTTCATGTCAGAGATTGGGTGACAAGAAGCTTGAAAACTTATCTTTATTTCCTATTTTATTTAGCACAGTGCCTGATCCAAAGAAGAATATACTCAAGAATGAATACATGATCCTTAGACCAGAATTGAAAGGGCTATTTTCATACAAAATAGACTGTAAAGTTCAGGGTTTAATGCTTTTTTATTTTATTTATTTATTTATTTTCATTTTTGTGGGGCCTGAACTCTGGGTCTGGGCGCTGTCCCTCAGCTCTTCAGCTCAAGGCTAGCGTTCTACCACTTGAGCCACAGCACCACTTCCGGCTTTTTTCTTTTTGCTTATGTGGTGCTGAGGAATTGAACCCAGGGCCTCATGCATACAAGGCAAGCGCTTTTAAACTCACAGTTTCAGTATCATCTAAGGTGGGGGTTTTTTATTTGTTGGTTTTTTGGTTTTTTGTTTTGTTTTTTGCCAGTCCTGGTGCTTACGCTGAGGGTCTGGACACTGTCCCTAAGCTTTTTGCTCAAGATTGGTGCTCTACCACTTGAGCCACAATTCCAGTGTTGGCTTTTTTGGTAACTAATTGGATATGAGTCTCACGGACTTCCCTGTCTGTGCTGGCTTTGAACCATAATCCTCAGATCTCAGCTCTCAGATTTCAGCCTCCTGAGTAGCTGCTATTACAGGCGTGAACCATGGGCGCCCGACAAGGATTTAATTTTTTTTTCTCCTAAATATGTTTTTTATTGTAAAGATTGTATACAGAGGGGTTACAGTTATATGAGTAAAGTAATGCGTCCATTTCCTATTGAGCATTGTTAACATCCTCTGTTTTTCCCCTTACCATTCCTTCCCTCAGATTTAATCTTTTTATTCCTACCTCTGAGTAGCTGGCCTTGTTGGCATCTTGAGATCCATCCTTAGTAAACACATGCTCTATTTGAGCCTAACTTTATAATAAAATTTGGGGAAACTATCCCTGTGAATGTCAGGGCTTGCATCTGTCCTGCTGTGTGCATGCTTTCGTTTCCCTGAGACAATTCAGAAGTGAGGAGCTAACCTCATCTCTCCTTTTTACTTGAGCATTACTTACGAGACTGTTGCTATCAGTGTCCTAGAGTTCAGTTTTTTCCCTGATCATAAAATCTATGATCATGTACAAGATATAAATTTAAAGTTTAAAAATGTTAGATCTTGAAAATAGAGCTGGATAGAGTGCTAACGCTAGCCTTGAGCACAAAACCTCAGGAACAGGACACAGACCCAGGACTGGCACAAAGAAAAATAGTTGTTAAAATATTAAGTATGCATAGGAAAACATAGTATACAAAGTGTTCGTTACTGAGTACCAACCAGCATTCACTGGGAGTCTTGGCGTGTGTCCCCTGAGAATGGGGAGCTGTCTGCAGTTTGTGGCTTGAGTATTACAAATGAGTCTGCCTCGCTGGGGTATGTAATGTGGATTGAGCTCAATATTCCACACACTGGTGAGGAAGGGCTTTTGAGTGTATAGAGTAACTCAGGCAGAGCTGACATTTCTCTTCATGCCTGTAATCCCAGCTACTCAGGAGGCTTAGATCTGAGGACTGTGGTTCAAAGCCAGCTGGGGCAAGAAAATCCATTACTCTTAATCTCCAGTTAACCTCTAGAAAACTGGAAGTAGAGCTGTGGCTTAAAGTGGTAGAGCACTAGCCTTGAGCAAAAGAGTTCCTGAACTCTTGGCCTCATGACGACCACCAACAACAAAATAGGGTATGTGGGGGACTATAAGTATAGACCAAAGTATACACCATTACATCCATCTTGTAACAACGGTGCTCTCAATTCATTAGGCTTGGTTTATCAGAATACTTGAGACTGAGTAATTTATAAATAGCCAACATTTATTTCTCATAGAAACCATGACTTCAGAATCCAAGAGCCATTCACTGTTGGGTGATGGTCAATTCTTTGCCCAAGAGAGTTCCTTTTTTTTTTTTGTTGGCCGTGGTGCTTGAACTCTGGGCCTGGGCGCTGTCCCTCAGCTCTTCAGCTCAAGGCGAGCGCTCTACCACTTGAGCTACAGCGCCACTTCCGGTTTTCTGGTGGTTTATTGGAGATAGGAGTCTCACGGTCTCTCCTGCCCGGGCTGGCTTTGAACCGGGATCCTCAGATCTCAGCCTCCTGAGTAGCTAGGATTACAGGCGTGAGCCACCAGCGCCCGGCCCCAAGAGAGTTCCTTTAAGCACACCTGTGGTTGCGGTACTTCTGCCCAAGTGCCCTTCTATGTAGCAGAAGGTAGGAGGGCAACGAGGTCCCATTACTAGTTCCTTCCAGCCCCCTTGAACTGAGATCCTGAGCCCCTCCCTCCTCAGCAGTGCTCATGTCAGCTTCCTGAGCAGCTGGGATTACAGATGTTAGCCACCAGTGCCCAGCTGCTTCTTCTTCAAAAGCTTTACAATCTGAGAGTTCTGTTACTTTGACCAAGTTCCTGTTCTTACCTGAGTTTCCCAGTTATTACCACTGTGATTGGGCAGTTTTTTTCCTCCCTGTGGCCACATTAAGCACGTGGCACTGTTGCTCAGTGGAAGAACACTAGCCTTGAGCACAAAGAGGCTCAGGGACAGCATCTAGGCCATGATTTCCAGCCCCAGCACTGACCAAAAAAGAAAAGTATATGATAAAAATCTTAAAGCCGGGCGCTGGTGGCTCACGCTTGTAATCCTAGCTGCTCAGGAGGCTGAGATCTGAGGATCACGGTTCAAAGCCAGCCTGGGCAGGAAAGTCCATGAGACTGTTATCTCCAATAAACCACCAGAAAATCAGAAGTGGTGCTGTAGCTCAAGTGGTAGAGTGCTCGGCTTGAGCTGAAGAGTACAGGGACAGCGCCCAGGCCCAGAGTTCAAGCCCCACAACCAACAACAACAAAATATTAAGATGCAAAGTTTACAAGGCCTTTCAGGATGTAGATCCTTCTTTTCTTATCTCTCTTTTATCTTCCTACCAAATCTTACCTTCCAGCCAAACTAAACATTCTGGTTTTCTAAGTCCAACCACATGATGATATTCTTGCTTGTCTTCACTTTTGCTAGCTTGTGCTCTCCTGTATCTCAGTCCTAGCTGGTCCACACTCCTGCAGGAAGAGTGATGTGTGCAGCCTTGCTCTGAGCCTTCAGTGCTTATCTGCGCACCCGAGTGCGTAGGATCACCAGTGAGAGCCTCAAACTTCTCTAGTGCCTACATTGGGTCTTCTGTGATCTATCTTAATAGATACTTAGATGAATACTTTGACAGTGGCTTCATGTGACTGTTAGTCACTGGTTATTCCTTCTTGAACTATCTAAGGCAAAGTGCAGTTTTATGAGTTGATTTTTTTAAAAAGATTTTTGTTGTTATTGTCATCTGTGCTGATTTTTAATGCTTTTTACATATTCTGTTGCATTCACTGCTTTGAGGTTTTTTTTGAAGGCTCATGTGATTTGTTTCCAGTGGCTGCATGTGTATTCCCGCTGTAACTGTAACTCTGGGATTTATCCTCTCAGGTAGAGGATGCGCTGTCCTATCTCGACCAGGTAAAGCTGCAGTTCGGCAGTCAACCACAGGTCTACAATGATTTCCTTGACATCATGAAGGAGTTTAAATCTCAGAGGTAAGAGATTTGCTTGTGGTTTTTGTTCATGGCGTGTGGTTTTTGTTCATGGCATATTGATTGTTAGAGAGTATAACTTTCATCTCCTGAGTATTTTTTCAGGGATTTTTTTTTCAGGTCATGTCTTAAAAATTATATATTTGTACATTTGGGGGTTTTTTTCCATATAAATTATAGTTACTGGATGTTTTTCTCCCTATTGGTACATTTTCACTAAACTTTGTCTGGGTGCTTCAAATAATTAGGGAATGGCTTAGGCTACTTGATCTTTTGTTGGTTTAAGGTAGCCTGGGGGAGGGGGAGGTAGAGGTGTAGCTCAAGTTGTAGTGAGCCAGCCTTGAGTGAAAAAACCTGGCAAGGAGTTCCACCCCCACCCCCACCCTACGCCCCCAGCAAAGTCAACATATTAAATATGATTACAAGTATGTTAAATACTCATGTATTTATGGCTGAAAGCAAGCATACTAAGGTATATATTTAGTTATAAAACAAAATAGATACCTGTATTCGGGCATGGTTCACCATTGTAAAGCATAAACTAATCTGAACTATTTAAACTGATGCCAGTAAATGAGTTATACTGGTGGATCAAAGATTGGGTTTTGTTTGAGAATTGCACCTTTATATTCACTGTTTGTATTGGCTTCATTACATAGTTACTGTGAATGTATATTTTGTTCAAAATTGTGACTAAGCCTCTGGAACTAAAGCTAAGTAACTTTTATGTGATGTTATAATAATAGGCAGGTTGTGCTTCCTTTTTTTTTTTTTTTCCTTTTGAGAATTTCGTTGTTGAGCTTGCCATTTCTCACTTTTCTCCTTTTATTCGTCAGCATCGATACTCCGGGAGTGATCAGCCGGGTGTCACAACTGTTCAAAGGCCACCCCGACCTGATCATGGGCTTCAACACCTTCCTGCCTCCTGGCTATAAAATTGAGGTGCAAACGAATGACATGGTGAACGTGACAACTCCCGGCCAGGTTCATCAGATCCCCACCCATGGCATTCAGCCCCAGCCTCAGCCACCGCCCCAACATCCTTCCCAGCCTTCAGCACAGTCTGCCCCAGCTCCTGCCCAGCCCAGCCCTCAGCCCCCAGCCACCAAAGTCAGCAAGGTGAGCATTTGGAAACCAAAGCCTCGCATGAAATGCATCCCCCTAGGAAGCCACCCTTATAAGGCTTGACTCTTAACAGATCACAGGTTAGAAAATTTATTTCATAGAGAAGCTGGAGACAAGTGATTACGTGGACACCTGCTTAAACATTAACATGCTGTGGCCGTCTTTGGTCTCCAGCTCTTCTGTCTTTGGTAGTTCACATGCATGCTAGCAGGTCGTGGTGGGCTTTGTGTGTAGTACTTAGACATCATAGCAAGCTTTTGTTCTTGTCCATCACTTTGCTCATGATTCAGTCTGAATTGAGCGTCCATGGCTCTGTGGCAGCATTGCTTTAGGTCTGAAGCCACGCGTGGCATGATGGTGATCGGGGATGGCAGCCAAGACCCAGAGAAAGAGAAATAGAGGGCGCGTGTGTGATTGTGTGTGTATCTGTGCTGGTCTCAGGGCTGAAGTTCAGCGCCTGGGCACTGTCTCTGTCCCTGAGCTTTTTTGCTCAAGGCTAGCACTCTACCACTTGAGCTACAGTTCCACTCTGGTAGAATTAACTACCACGGTAGTTAAGAGTCTCATGGAGCCTGGCGCTGGTGGCTCACGCCTGTAATCCTAGCTACTCAGGAGGCTGAGATCTGAGGATCACGGTTCAAAGCCAGCCCGGGCAGGAGAGACCGTGAGACTCCTATCTCCAATAAACCACCAGAAAACCGGAAGTGGCACTGTAGCTCAAGTGGTAGAGCGCTCGCCTTGAGCTGAAGAGCTGAAGGACAGCGCCCAGGCCCAGAGTTCAAGCCCCACGACCGACAAAAAAAAAAAAAGAGTCTCATGGACTTTCCTGCCCAAGCTTCAAACCTTGATCTTCAGATGGAATCTTAGCCAGAAGTCTATGTCTCTTACCTACTCAGGAGATTTGAGAATCTTGGTTCCACACCTGCCTCTAGGCAGACAAATGTGAGGTTCTTCTCTCCAATTAATCAACAAAAAGCCAGAAACAGAGTGTGGCTCTAGTGGTAGGGCACCAATTGAGCAGAAAAACTTGAGTGAGAACTCAAGACCTGATCATCTTAATCGTGTTCCAATTAGGCTACTACCCATATGATTATCGTTTTATAAGATTTACTCATTTGCTAGATTGGGACATACCAAAAAAGTAGAAAGTTTGATGACGGGATGTTCTTAATTAAGAACTACACATGTGATAGAGCAGGTACTAGCAAGATAAACGTTCTCCATTAAGTTAAATAAGTTTACTTTTTCATTTGCTCTACTACATTTTATGCACTCAGGACACAGTGGCACAGAGGACCACTTGCAGTTTCTCAGATAGTTTTATTGCAGAGACTTGTTTTAATGTGAGGGTACTGGCAATAAAAATCTGTGTAAAATCACTTTTTCTTTTTTAGTGAGCTCAAAAAGTGAATATGAAAAATTCTTCCCCATTATTAGAGGTGGTAAGCTAGTCTTAAGGTATTATTTGGGCCTCCAGGCCAGCTTTGAACCATGATCCTCAGATCTCAGCCTCCTAACTAGCTAGGATTACAGGTGTGAGCTACCCACACCTAGCAGTATTTAGACATGTTAAGATAATTCCTATCAGAATGTGTGGGCCTTCTACATCTCTTGCCACGCACTGTGATTTGAGTTGGGTTAAAATTGTGGGCCTGTCAGGAGGCAGTGGCTCATGCCTATAATTCTCACTACTCGAGGCTGAGATATGAGAATTGTTGTTCAAAGCCAACTTGGGCAGAATAGACCATGAGACTCTTATCTCAGTTAACCATTCAAAGAAAACAAAACTAGAAGTGGAGCTCAAGTGGTAGAGCACTAGACTTGAGAGGAAAAAAAATCTCAGAGCTCAAGCCCCCGAGTTCAAGCCCCAGAATTGACAAGAAAGAAAAATTGTGGGACTGCCTCAGTAAATAAAGGGAATCAGTTCAGCAGACACCCTGTTCCTTTTTAGTTTGAATTGTCTTTCCCTATAGCAAAGCATCTATGCTGCGGAAGAGAATAAAGACTGTTTTCTTTTTAGCCTTCCCAACTCCAAGCACATACTCCAGCCAGCCAGCAGACGCCCCCGCTGCCGCCGTACGCGTCCCCACGCTCTCCACCCGTCCAGCCCCACACCCCAGTGACAATCTCCCTGGGCTCGGCCCCATCCTTGCAGAACAATCAGCCTGTGGAGTTTAATCATGCCATCAACTATGTCAATAAGATCAAGAACCGATTCCAGGGCCAGCCAGACATCTACAAAGCATTCCTGGAGATTTTGCACACATACCAGGTGAGTGAGTTGCTCTTTCAGCCTGTCTTCTCCAGCTTATCTCTGAGAACAGCTGATCCAAGAACTTTACTGTATGTGATGCTCATTGACTCTTCTAGAGCTGAATCAGTCAGACACTAGGCTGATGTGTGTTCAATGAAGCAGGTTTTACTGGCATGCCTTGTCGCAATCAGAAAGGATGGTGTGTGCAAGAGCTTGTGCTCTTGGCTTTTCCCCCTCAAGGCTCAACCACTTGATCTATGTCTTTTATTTCCAGTTTTTTGCTGGCTAACTAACTGGAGATAGTCTCTTGGGTTTGTTAGTCCAGGCTCGCTTTGAACTGAGATCCTTGGGAGCTCAGCTTCCTGAGTAGTAGGATTATAGGTATGAGTCACGAGCTCCCAGCTTCCATTCAGGATTTATTAAAGCCCAGGACCTGTGAAATGAATGCCTTGTTTTATCTAGGAAGTTAAAGGACAATTTACGTAGTTAGGTTATTTTACAGTTGAGGAAGGAGAAATTTCCTTAATTATGTTTTATTAGTTGAGGTACTCATATCTGTAGGTTATTTTTTGTTTGTTTGTTGCCAGTCCTGGCACTTGAACAGGGCCTGGACGCTATCCCTGAGCTGATTTGGCTCAAGGCTAGCCACAGAACCACTTCTGGCTTTTATGGTGGTTTGTTGAAGATAAAAGTCTTACGGAGCCGGGCGATGGTGGCTTACGCCTGTAATCCTAGCTACTCAGGAGGCTGAGATCTGAGGATCACGGTTCAAAGCTAGCCCAGGCAGCAAAGTCCGTGCGACTCTTATCTCCAGTTAACCACTAGAAAACCGGAAGTTGTGCTGTGGCTCAAGCGGTAGAGCACTCACCTTGAGCTGAAGAGCGCAGGGACAGTGCCCAGGCCCAGAGTTCAAGCCCCACGACTGACCAAAAAAAAAAAGTCTTACAGACTTTCCTGACTGGGCTGGTTTTGAACCATGATCCTCAGATCTCAGCCTCCTGAATTAGCGAAGATTACAAGCATGAGCCACTGGCACCTGGCCATTTCTGTAGTTATAAAAAAAGTTAATTGTCCTCTGTCATCTTCTTTCTTAACTTAAAAGACTGCAGCCAAAATGAGTTTTTAAAAGAGCACTTTCCTAGAGTCTGGAGGTATATAGCTCAAGTACTGTGAGGCCCTTGAGTTCAATCCCTAAGCCAGAAAAGAAAAAAAAAAACAAAAAAGAATAAAAAAAAGAACATTAGAGCCGGGCACTGGTGGCTCACGCCTGTAATCCTAGCTAATCAGGAGGCTGAGGTCTGAGGACCGCAGGTCGAAGCCAGCCGGAGCAGCAAAGTCCATGAGACTCTTATCTCAAATAAACCACCAGAAAACCGGAAGTGGTGCTGTGGTTCAAGTGGTAGAGTGCTAGCCTTGAACCGAAGAGCTGAGGGACAGTGCCCAGGCCCAGAGTTCAAACCCCATGACTGACCAAAAAAGAAAAAGAACATTAGACTTTTTGTGTGTGGGGGGGTGGGGGGGTTCGAGGTTCGGTCGTGGGGCCTGAACTCTGGGCCGGCCGTGGTACTGTCCCTCAGCTCTTCAGTTCAAGGCTAGCATTCTACCACTTGAGCCACAGCGCCACTTCCGGCTTTTTTCTTTTTGCTTATGTGGTGCTGAGGAATCGAACCTAGGGCCTTAGGCATGCAAGGCAAGCGCTCTACCACTGAGCCACCTTCCCAGCCCACATTAGACTTTCTTTAGTGCAGCCCAAGTAGATCACACACCATAGGCACAGTAAATATCCCAGAGTATCCTGAATGTGTGTTAGAAAATGGTGGCCCTCTCAAATGGTGTCTTCTTGATTATGACTCCTCAGAAAGAGCAGCGGAACGCTAAGGAGGCAGGAGGGAACTACACTCCAGCCCTAACAGAGCAGGAGGTATATGCCCAGGTGGCCCGGCTCTTCAAAAACCAGGAAGACCTGCTGTCTGAGTTTGGACAGTTCCTTCCAGATGCCAACAGCTCTGTGGTAAGTTCCGTTCCCCACATCTGCAGTGTTGAGAACCGTTGTTCTAGCGAAGTAGGACAGACTGAACCACCAAGGGACTTTGCCCAGACTGTGCTCGCTTTGATCAGAGCCTTCCTCTCTTGGATTTGTCTCCATCAGCTTCTAAGCAAAACCACAGCTGAGAAGGTGGATTCCGTGAGGAACGACCATGGAGGCACTGTGAAGAAGCCGCAGCTGAACAACAAGCCCCAGAGGCCCAGCCAGAATGGCTGCCAGATCCGCAGGCACTCCGGGACGGGCGCCACCCCCCCTGTGAAGGTGAACGGGAAGAGGGTGGGCACAGGTGCCGATGCTGCGGGTGTAGGCCCACTTCTGAACATCCAGAGCTAGTGGACAGATCACAAAAGCTTGGTGCAGAGCTGCTTAGCTGCCTTTCCAAAAGGAATGTCAGGATAGCACCTATTGCTGGGATTCTTGTTGGATTTTTAGAGTGCTTTTTTTGTTGTTGGTGGTCGTGGGGCTTGAACTCGGCTTGGGCACTGTCCCTCAGCCCTTCAGCTCAAGGTGAGTGCCTTGAGCCACAGCGCCACTTCCGCTTTTCTGGTTGTTAATTGGAAGTAAGAGTCTCTCAGACTTTCCTGCCTGGGCTGGCTTTGACCCGCGATCCTCAGATCTCAGCCTCCTGAGTAGCTGGGATGACAGGTGTGAGCCTCCAGCATCCCGCTAGAGTGCTTTTTAAACTATGTTTAAGAGTAGTCATCTTAATTTTGTTTACCAAAGCTTTCTGGCTTTGTAATTTTCCCCTTATTTTCTTCTTTAAACCTACCTTGTATGAAGAAAGAGGATTCTTGAGTTTTCTAGAAACAAATACTGTGGCCTCTGAGGTCCTCCAAGTGTGGTCTAGCGCAGGCACTGTGGCATCTCACTGGTCTCTGTCCACGCACCAGTGTGTGGACCTCACCAGGCCTTCCCGCTCTCTGAACCTCTGAGGCAGGACCTTTGGCTGTAGCCAAGAGAGGCCTCCAGTGCCTGTTTGTAACCAGCACAGGATGCCTCTTGCTCAACACTAGCTGACAGCACAAACTCACAGGCTTGCTCCCTTTTCAGTGTGGTGCCCTGGTGATGTGGAGAGGGCGAGGTTGGTCACTGAATATCCAGGTTTTTCTGGGAATTCTAAAGCAGGTGTAATTTAGAAGGGGTGACCTGTCTGCAGAGTTTGGAGAGACACACTTTGAAGAAGTGGGTGATAGACTAGGTGTTGCCAACACTTTCGAAGCACTCCTTTTTTTGTTTTCTCACTTCAGTAAAGAGTGTTAGGACTGGGGTTGGAGGTATGACTCGGGTGGTGGAGCGCCAGTCAATGAGTGGAAGCTTCAGATACCACATTGCAGTGTGTGGGTAGCAAGCCTCAGCTGTGCCGGTGGGCTTCACTGGGATCTCCTATGGAGCTCCCACGCGCCACAACCCACAGGTGGAAGCATTGGGAGAATATAAATTCTCCACCTGCATTCCGTGGGCAGCGTAAACAAGGCTGTGCGCCCCACGAACGTGTCCTCTGAGGCCGAGGCAATTGTGCTGCTGCTCATAAAGTGGTGCCTTTCTTCACCAATCGTGAGAGGTTGGCTGGAGTTATACCACAGGTCTAGTTCATCCCCTTTTCAAAGCACTGTATTAGGAAAATGCTACTTTTTGAATATTTTTAAATTAAATGTTATTTAAGAAAGGTTAGAGATTTGGGGAGTGGAATGATCTGTGAGCATTGGATGAGGAAAATGGACAGGAAAACTAAAATAGAAGGGAAAGTAGAAATCTTTTAGGGTGTAAAGTGGGTTGGTGGTTTGAATTCTCACCTGTTCCAGATTATTCATCCATGATGGGCTCTGTGATGGAATTCTTCAGCAGATATGGCATAAAATGCAGGGAAATCCATTCCCTGAGTCTCACATGTTTATATTTCTCCTTCGCAGAAGAAGCCCAAACTCCTGAGTCTAAAGGATTCCTCAATGGTAGATGCCAGTAAGCACGGGGTTGGAACAGAATCATTATTTTTTGATAAGGTGAGTAATGGATAAGAATTGCTGTTAATATAAATGATTTCAAAAAGATCCAGCTGTTCAGAAGTGTGAGTGCAGCGTGGATGACTGCAGCTTGTGCAGGCACTAGTCCTGGGGCTTGAACTCAGGGCCTGGGCACTCTCCTGTAGCCATTTTGCTCAAGACTAGTGCTCTACCACTTGAATCATAACTCCACTTCTGCTTTTTTGTCTTTAATTGGAGATAAAGAGTATCATGGCCTTTCTGGGTTGGCTTTGAACCTTCTCAGATCTCAGCACCCTGAGTAGTGAGGATTAAAGGCATGAGCCCCTGGTGCCAAGCCTAGAATTTTTTGTTTTTTTTTTCTGTCTGCTTCCTTGCTTTTGTGCAGGGCAGGCAAACACTCTGCCATTCGCCCTTCTCCATCCTCCAATCCCAGGGCTTTCTGGCTTTTAATTCATTTTCCACGTTGTAGATCCTTTTCATCTTCTACAAGTATTAGCACAAGTTGATAAGATAAATAGCATTTTCTGTGTTGGTTTTGTGAAGTCCCTTGTGACATAATAACATTGTCCACGGTGGAGCCAGACAGAACCTCACAGAAACTGTGGTGCTCCTCTCAGAAGGTGTTTGTGAGGCATTTGGTGTTCCCACGTGGATATTTGGATGTGGCTGAGGGTTGATTTCTTCACCGTCTTTGAGGCTCCGTGATCTTCACCTTCATGGAGCTTTCTGTCTCTCTGCGTGTGAACGCGCAGAAGTCTTTTTGTTTTCTGTTGTTTTGTGGGTATGTGTAGGGGTATGTATATGGTACTGTGGTTTGAACAGTACCTGGGCCTCGTGCTTGCTAGGCAGAGGCTCTACCATTTGAGTCATTCTGCCAGCCTTTTTGGCAGTAGTTTTCAAGGCAGGGTCTCTCTTTAAGGCACAGGCTGGTCTAGACTATAATCCTCCAATCTGTGCTTCCCTTTGTAGTTGAGATGATAGTCGAGTGCCACTGTACCTTAGTCCTTAGCTGAGAAAGAGTCTTTCCACTAAATTGATCTCTAACTGTGGTAATCCCGGTTTGACCTCCAAAGTAGCTAGGATTACAGCGTTGCAACATCATTCTGGCTAAAGTATTTCTTTTTGTGCTGTATCAGGACTTGAGCTCAGTTCTGGTGCTCTTTCTCAGCTTTCTCTGTTTCTCTTGGCTGGTGTTCTACCACTTTTGTCATGGCCTCCAGTCTAGCACTTTGTTGGTTAATTGAAACTGAGCCTCTTGGATTTTTCTGCCTACCCAGGCATCCAACTGTGATCTTTATCTCTCAGCCTCCTGACTGCAGGTGTGAACACAGCACTCAGTTCAATTTCCTGATGGTTTAAAAGTCATCTAGGCCGGGCACCAGCAGCTCACATCTGTAATCCTAGCTACTCAGTAGGCTGAGATCTGAGGATCGCAGTTAAAAGCTAGCCCGGGCGTGAATGTACATGAGACTCTTTACCTCTAGTTAGCCACCAGAAAACCAGAGGTAGCACTGTGGTTCCGAGTGATAGTGCTAGTCGTGAGCAAAAGAGCTCAGGGACAGCACCCAGACCTGAGTTCAAGCCCTACAATTGACTACAAAAAAAAAAAAAGTGACCTAGAGCCTCGGTTTTCCATGTAACCACTTTCTTGCATTGTCTCTGTAGGTCCGAAAGGCTCTGCGCAGTGCAGAGGCATATGAAAATTTCCTGCGCTGTCTTGTTATCTTCAACCAGGAGGTCATCTCCCGAGCTGAACTGGTGCAGCTGGTCTCTCCTTTTCTAGGGTATGTGAACTGAGGGCTGCAGACCTAGTTCTCCTTTGGACACGAGACAGTGATTGGTTTGTAAGAATGTGTAATAGGCAACATTAATTGCGGTAATGTCAGCTGACTCATGTCAGTGTAAATAAAATACAATTCTTACCTCTTCAAGATGAAAAAAATTGTCCCAGTGTATGTTGCAGTGTCATGGCTGACCAATCGTCCGGAATGATGGTCTTTTTATCATCTAGCTGATTCTGGATGTTTCACGACACATCTCCCCCAGGGCTCTATAATTTTGACTGTGATTGACAACCTAAGAATTGGGTTAGCACAGAAGCAATACTCTAGATCCAAAGAAAGGCTGGCTTTTGCCTAGTTTGGCTGCAGTGTTCCATTACCCCCTTAACCTAGCCTTCACCAAGGAGCAGGGCCCCACATGCAGAGTGTGCTGAAGATGCTCATTCTAGAGTGTGCTGAAGATGCTCGTTCTCCATTGCAGAGTTCTGACCAATGTGGAGCCCTTAGCCTAACCTACAAATAACTGCATCTTGCCTCATTGCTCACAAGTGTTTTGCTTGATTCTTCAGGAAATTCCCTGAATTGTTTAATTGGTTTAAAAACTTTCTGGGCTACAAGGAGTCTGTTCACCTGGAGAGCTATCCAAAGGAACGCGCCACAGAGGGCATTGCCATGGAGATCGATTACGCATCCTGCAAGCGCCTGGGCTCCAGCTACCGCGCCCTGCCAAAGAGCTACCAGCAGCCCAAGTGCACGGGCCGGACTCCACTCTGCAAAGAGGTGGGTGAGGGTCAGCATGGACCCCCACTTCCTCTGCAGGTAGTGGGGAACAAGCTAAGCCTTTTTTTGGGGGGGGTCGGGTCGTGGGGCCTGAACTCTGTGCCTGGGCGCTGTCCCTCAGCTCTTCAGCTCAAGGCTAGCTAGCGCTCTACCACTTGAGCCACAGCGCCACTTCCGGCTTTTTTCTTATGTGGTGCTGAGGAATTGAACCCAGGGCCTCATGCATGCAAGGCAACTGCTCTACCACTGAGCCACCTTCCCAGCCCCCCAAGCCTTTTTTTGAGTGGTGAGATCAAGGACTTTCTCTGTTCTTCCAGAGACAGTTTTCAACCTACAATGAAAACTCTTTGCTTCCTAGTATCCTCTTTTTTTTTTGGTTATGGGGCTTGAACTCGGCCTGGGTGCTGTCCTCTGAGGTCTGTGTTCTCAAGGCTGGCACTCTACACTTTGACCCACAGTATCACTTCCAGTTTTTCTGATGGTTCATTGGAAATCAGAGTCTTAGACACTTTCCTACCCAGGCTGGCTTCCATCTGCGATCCTCAGATCTCAGCCTCCTGAGTAGCTGGGGTGACAGGCGTGAGCCACCAGTGCTCAGTTTCTTGTGTATCTTTTTAGTGGAACGGAAACTTTTTTTGGTCAGCCCTGGGGCTTGAACTCTGGGCTTGGGCACTGTCCCTGTGCTCTTCAGCTCAAGGCAAGCACTCTACCATTTTTTTTTTTTTTTGTCCAGTTGTGGGGCCTGAACTCTGGGCCTGAGTGCTGTCCCTCAGCTCTTCAGCTCAAGGCTAGCGCTCTACCACTTGAGCCACAGCGCCACTTCCGGCTTTTTTTTCTTTTTGCTTATATGGTGCTGAGGAATCGAACCCAGGGCCTCAGGCATGCAAGGCAAGCGCTCTACCACTGAGCCAACTTCCCAGCCCCAACTCTACCATTTTTATCACCGCACCACTTCTAATTTTCAAAGCCTGGGCTGGCTTTGAACTGAGATCCTAAGAACTCAGCCTCCTGAGTAGCTAGTATTACAGGCATGAGCCACCAGCACCTGGCTCAGTCTCTCTTTTTCTATCCCCAAGGTTTTAAACGATACTTGGGTTTCCTTCCCCTCCTGGTCTGAAGACTCCACCTTCGTCAGTTCTAAGAAGACTCAGTATGAGGAGCACATTTACCGTTGTGAAGATGAACGTTTTGAGGTATGAGCTCCTTATTCATTTGGAGTTAGGGGAATGGGAGAAGATGAGATTAATGAAAGCGTATCTTAAATATAGTTTGTGAGCATGGGCTGTTTACGACTAAAGAACCAAAGGCTCACAGTGGTGTAAGTGCTGCTCACAGTGACCACCATCAAAGATATTATCAATTTTTTTTTTTTTTTGGATGGTCATGGAGCTTGAGCTCTGGGACTTTTGCTGTCCCTCAGCTCTTCAGCTCAAGGCGAGTGCTCTACCACTTGGTCCACCACGCAACTTTTGGTTTTCTGGTGGTTTATTGGAGATAAGAGTCTCAGAGACATTTCCTGCCTGAGCTGATTTTGAACTGTGATCCTCAGATCTCAGCCTCCTGAGTAGCTAGGATGACAGGCGTGAGCCACCAGCGCCCAGCTCCTTTGAGTTTCGAAGAGCTTTTTTTACTTGAGCAATTTTGTGTGTTTTGAACAAAGAATTCTATGTCAGTTGGCCACTGGTAGGTGGTTAGTCATAGTTGCCTATAGCATCTATGAACTTCTCAGTCATTTCACAGAAGTCAGTAACCATGATCAATGCTAGCCTCTGTGGAGCGTTATTATATCAAGCTGAAGAGAGTGTTCTTGATCCCCGTGCCCACAAGTTCAGGTGATGAGTTGGAATACAGAGTTGGGGTCTCTGCTGTAAGGCCCCAGCCTATGGTTGGCTGTCCTCAGGCAGCCCTATCGCTGGCTGGGCTAGCAGTAATAGCTGTTCAGCTGCCTTCAGTGTGTGTTCGCCTGTGCTAGGCATTGTGCTTAATGTGCTGTGTGACGAGCACGTGAGGGCAGTGGCTCATCCTATTTGATAAGCTATATCTGGTATCTGGCATTTATGACCCCGCTAGATCCCTACCTTATTCTAAGCACTGCTTTCTTCTGGTTTGGGTCCTGAGCGCCGTTCTTTTCTTCTTCCCTAGCTTGATGTCGTCTTAGAGACCAATCTGGCAACAATCCGAGTTCTGGAAGCAATACAGAAAAAGCTCTCCCGCCTGTCTGCTGAGGAGCAAGCCAAGTTCCGCCTGGACAACACCCTCGGGGGCACGTCAGAAGTCATCCACCGCAAAGCCCTCCAGAGGATATACGCTGACAAGGCAGCCGACATTATCGACGGGCTGAGGAAGAACCCCTCCATCGCAGTTCCAATTGTTCTTAAAAGGTGCGTGAGCAGTCTGTCCTTTGTGACAGCCTCTGTGTGTGTGTGTGAGTGTATGCGTGCGTGTGCACAGACGCGTGTTCGAATGCCCATACTGTGGTTTGAACTCAGGGTCAGGGTGCTTTTCCTTTACTTTCCCACTCCCTGTCAATATGCTACCACATGAGCCATAACTGCACTTCTAGCTTTTTCGTGGTTCATTGGAGATAAGAGTCTCTTTCTTCAGCTCAAGGCTAGCACTCTACCACTTGAGCCACAACGCCATTTCCGGATTCTGGTGGTTAATTGGAGATAAGAGTCTTATGGACTTTCCTGCCCGGGCTGGCTTTGAACCATGATCCTCAGATCTCAGCCTCCTAAGTAGCTAGGATTACAGGCATGAGCCACAAGCTCCCAGCTGTGTTTGATTTTTTATCATAATCTTGAGCATTAGCATCAGCTGTGATCAAAGCCTCCCAAGCAAGCCAAGAAGACAGTTTCATGCTCATTTCTCTGTTCTTAGACTTTGCTCTTCCTGGGACTCCAACTCAGGGCCTGAGGCCTGTCCCTGAGCTTTTGCTCCAGGCTAGCACTCTACCATTTGAGCCACAGCTCCACTTCCAGCTTTTCTTTTCTGTTTACATGATATTGAGGAATCAAACCTAGGGCTTCATGCATGCTAGGCAAGCACTCTACCACTAAGCCACATTCTCAGCCCCAGAGTGCGTGCTTCTGTTTTATTTTCACGATATTGGGTTCAAACCCATGGCTTCAAATTTACCAGGGGAAAATACTGCATTTCTTTCTTTTTTTTTTGGGGGGGGGTCCGGTCGTGGGGCCTGAACTCTGGGCCTGGGCGCTGTCCCTCAGCTCTTCAGCTCAAGGCTAGCGCTCTACCATTTGAGCCACAGCACCACTTCCAGCTTTTTTCTTTTTGCTTATGTGGTGCTGAGGAATCGAACCCAGGGCCTCAGGCATGCAAGGCAAACTCTACCACTGAGCCATCTTTCCAGCCCCAATGCTGCATTTCTTAACTACACTTTTTTTTTTTGGTCAGTCATAGGGCTTGAACTTGGCCTGTCCCTGAGCTGCAGCTCAGGGCAAGTGCTCTACCACTTGAGCCACAGTGCCACTTCTGGTTTCCTGGTAGTGAATTGGAGATAAAAGAGTCTCACAGACTTTCCTGCCTAGGCTGGCTTTGAACTGTGATCCTCCTTGGATCTCAGCCTCCTGAGTAACTGGTATTATAGGCATGAGCCATCAGCACCCAGCTTTAACCACACTTTTTAAGCATTAGTCATTGTAAGTCAGGCACCATAATTGTAATCCTCTCTGCTCAAATGGCTAGGAGGACTGCAGTTTGAAGCAGCCCAGGCAGATAAAACATAAAAAAGCCATGACTAGAGGTTTGGGTTAAGTGGTAGAGTGCCAGCCTTGAGCAAAAATGCTAAGTGATTGCTCAAAGTCTGCCGCGGACCGGGTTCTGTCGGGACGACGGAGGATACCTAGGGGAGGAACCTGGAATAGGATGGGGAGATGGCAAACAGACAACTCACACACATTAGGAGTGGATGCTGAGTGCTGAGCGCTGAGTGCGATTTAATGCAGAGGATAACAAACTTTTATAGCAAAAAGTCTCCATAAGAAAGGGCAAAAGGTTACATAATCTTGCTGCATGGCTTCATTCTTGGGCGGTCACCAGCTGATCGCCTGAAAGGGCAAAAGGTTACACAGCCTTGCTGCAGGGCTTCATTCTTGGGTGGTCACCATCTGGTCGCCTGATAGGCACTTGTTTCTGGCTTATCTCTAAGAAATATAATGGGTTTTGATGTTTGTCACCAACTAACCATTACCTTATTTCTATAGAGGCCTTAACTGTCCCATAAGATCTTTTCTGTTCCTTCTTTAATAGTAAACACCAAGGAGACTTAGATCTAGCAAGTCTCTTAGTAAATGAAAGAGTAATAGGAAGTTCTTTCTCCAAAGTAGTTATCTCAGCAATTGCCATACATTCTTTCTGTTCTAGCCGCGCCTACAGCTTTTTGTAAATCTCTTACAAACAATTCCTTCTGCTGAAGTGACTTTGTGAAACCCCCAATACTTTTATATTTGCTTATGGCTTGTCTACTAGCCTCCATAAGAGGGGTTTCAGGGTAGCACTTAACTCCGGTGAGTTAGTCATATTTTTAAGACACTCATCAGATATTGGAGTCGTCAACACTCTTCAGAAAGAGCTTTGTATAGGGAAAGGTTGACAATGAGCAAGTACAAAGAGCAGTAGAAACAGTAAAAGATTAGTAGGCACTTTTATATAGAGGAAAAGAAAGGCAGAAACACATCTTTCCCAGGGGCTTGCCAGCCTTTTCCCAGGAGTAGGCCTCTTAGAAGCCCTATTCTCCGAGGTAGACTTCGGTGAAGTCCCAAAACTTGGAGATAGGTTTCTGTAAAGCCCCATTCTCTGAGGTAGACTTCGGTGAAGTCCCAAAACTCAGAGATAGGTCTCTGAAGCCCCTATCATGGTCTGATAGATGGTTTCCCATGCTAAGCAGACTCCACTGGGGTCAGCGTGGCAAAAGTCCTGAGTTTAAGCTTCAAGACTGGCACCTTAAAAAAAAAGAAAGGAAAAGTAATTGTAGCTAAGATGTCTGACTTAAGGATAGATTATCTCCCCATAGTAAGTCCTACCTAAGAGTGGTTCCCTGTCATCAGAGTATTTTATTTGGAAATATTTATCTCAGGTTATAAATATTCCCACCAGATGTTGCATATCTTTTAAGTAATCAGGGTTTATGTCTCCTTCCTAGTCTCTTAATTTCCACATGGTGTTCACATCTCCCTCTCCCTGGCAGGTTGAAGATGAAAGAGGAAGAGTGGCGAGAAGCTCAGAGAGGCTTTAACAAGGTTTGGCGAGAACAAAATGAAAAATACTACTTGAAGTCTCTAGACCATCAAGGCATCAACTTCAAGCAGAACGACACGAAGGTCCTGAGGTCTAAGAGCTTGCTCAATGAGATCGAGAGCATATACGATGAGGTGAGCCGGCAGGCCCGGGCCCCTGTGGGCTGGCCTTCATCTTTTTCATAGCTTTGCTTCCTGGAGATTCTTTGTTACAGAGGCATTAAGATTTTCCAGGGCTGCTGATTCAGTGTACACTTCTTGCCCCCTGCCGTCTGTTTGCCTAAATATGATGGCTCTGTACCACAGCTCTAAAACTTACCATTGACCTCAAACTACCTAATCCTCATTGACGCGGCACACTTATTAGCAGGACTATAAATAGTCTTAGAGCTAAAGATGAATAAGATGAGTTGTGTTTTCTTTTAGTGTACAGTCTTAGGACATGAAGGTACTGTGATCACACATTCTTAAAAGAATATAGCATGGGCTGGGAATGTGGCTTAGTGGTAGAGTACTTGCCTAGCACACATGAATCCCTGGGTTCAATTCCTCAGTACCACATACACAGAAAAAGCTAGAAGTAGCGCTGTGGCTCAAGTGGTAGAGTGCAAGCCTTGAGCAAAAAGAAGCTCAAGTGACCAGACCCTATGTTCAAGCCCCAGAACTGCCCCCCCTCCTTAAAAAAAAAAAGAATTTAGCAAATGAGCTCTGACATAAACTTAACCACCAATACCCTCAGTGTTATTACACAGTCACCTAAACACTCTACCCTGGAAGTGTTTTAAACTCAGCCCCCGTTCTCATTCAGAGTCTACAAGGTGCCAATTTTTCTGCATCAAGTTAACTCTCCCACATTACCTATGTGTGTGAAGAACCATATAACTGTTAAGGTCAAGGATGGGTGTCTCCAAGGCTTACAGTCCTTCTGCCTCACCTGTGTGCTGGGATTACAGTTGTATACACACACACACACTCACCCACAGCTGCCTCTGTAGTTCATAATAGAACGTGCGCGGCTGGTGTGGTCCTGTTCGTTGTTGCTGTAGACATATCACACGATGCTTTTGTGTCTGTCCCACCAGAGGCAAGAACAAGCCACAGAAGAGAACGCAAATGTCCCCGCTGGCCCGCACCTCTCACTCGCCTACGAAGACAAGCAAATCCTGGAGGACGCCGCTGCCCTGATCATCCATCATGTCAAGAGGCAAACAGGAATTCAGAAGGAGGACAAGTATAAAATCAAGCAAATCATGCATCATTTCATTCCAGATCTGCTGTTTGCTCAGAGAGGTGATCTCTCCGATGTGGAGGAGGAGGAGGAGGAAGAAATGGATGTAGACGAAGCCACAGGAGCAGCCAAGAAGCACAACGGTGTTGGGGGCAGCCCCCCTAAATCCAAGCTCCTCTTTAGTAACACAGCAGCTCAGAAATTGCGAGGGATGGACGAAGTGTACAACCTCTTCTACGTCAATAACAACTGGTATATCTTTATGCGGCTGCACCAGATTCTCTGCTTACGGCTGCTACGGATTTGTTCCCAAGCTGAGCGGCAAATTGAAGAGGAAAACCGAGAGAGAGAATGGGAACGGGAAGTGCTGGGCATCAAGCGAGACAAGAGTGATAGCCCTGCCATCCAGCTGCGGCTCAAAGAACCTAGTGAGTGCCTGGGCTGTGGGCGAGCGAGAGCCAGGCCTTGGGTTTTGGAGCAAACTTATCACACCCTGTCTCTGCAACTTAACTGCCTGTGTGACCTTACAGCAACAAGCTGATAACTTGGGAATGGAGGTGTTAATTACTACCCTATGGGTGGCTGGAGGACTTGGCACGGGCGGGGGCGGAGGGGGGGGGAGGGGAGAGGGCGGTTATGAGAGAGAGAGATCACTTTTGCCCTGCTTGGTTCATGGACACTGAGCTTAGTGGTTGGTACTGCAGACACAGGGATGGGGCATCAGTTACCCAACTGTCAGTATAAGGAGTGTTTGAAAGGACAGAGACTTAATAGTTGATTCCACTCCATGATAGCCTAAATGTCTAGTTATTCATGCCCAAGACAAATAGCTGTGTTCCTAAAAAGTAGCAATATTTTCTGAAGAGGAGATTGGCATAGGGGCTCTGTGACACGAGAGCAGGTTGAGGAAGCCCTGATGATGCTCTAAGCAAGTCTGCTGCCTGCGTCCACACCACTGTTCAGCTCATACTTTAGGGACTTGTTCTGAGCCAGAATCTTTTTCCACGTCTTTCGTCTGTGCTCTTCAGGAAATAGCAAATCTGAGGAAGGAGGTTTTCTTTATTTTCTACATACTTTTTTTTTTGGGGGGGGGGCTCCGGTTGTGGGGCCTGAACTCTGGGCCTGGGCGCTGTCCCTCAGCTCTTCAGCTCAAGGCTAGCGCTCTACCACTTGAGCCACAGTGCCACTTCTGGCTTTTTTCTTTTTGCTTATGTGGTGCTGAGGAATCAAACCCAGGGCCTCAGGCATGCAAGGCAAGCGCTCTACCACTGAGCCACCTTCCCAGCCCCTCTACATACTTATTTTTGTGCCTATCCTGGGGATTGAATTCAAGGCTTATGCACAGTCCCTAAACTGCTTCTGCTCAAAGTAGCACTCTACTACTTGAACCATTGCGCCACTTGCAACTTGTTCTGAGCAATTATTGGAGATAAAAGTCTCACCAACTTTCCTGCCCAGAGAAGCTTCAAACCATCATCCTCAGATCTCAACCTCTCCTGTATAATAAGGATTACAGGCGTAAGCCACTAGTGTCCAGCTTCATTTTGTTTTTATGGGTTGCTCTTACAGAAATCGAATGTGCAGCCCTGGCTGTCTGAAGAGCTAATGACACTAGCAATTAATTCTCAACGCCTTTGTCTGCATTGGTGCTAGCTTGAGAGGAACAAATTATGGCCTGTAATTTAACTGTGGTGATTCCTTTTGCTTAGGTAGGAATTAAAGATGGCATTCTCCTGGCCTGACCACTAACCTAACCTGGCTTAACCTGGTATGAGGCTTACATCTTTGGTGTTGAGTGGTAAAGCCAGAGCTACCCTTATACTAGACGTAGCTTATAAGAACAGGTGTAGTTTCACCAGCTTTATACTCACGTAGAGGCAGGTGTTTTTCCCTGACAGCCACAATGTATTTCAAAGGCTGTCGTCTCTGTTTGTCTGTGGGCTTGTGCGCAGGTGATGTTCTGCGGTCAAACTCAAGCCACTTGATTGCTTCACGCAGTCATTGTCTTGTTTTGCCCGTCCGGGAACTTTGCACCACACTTCAGATAAAGGGAGATGGGTTCCATTTTGCTCATTAGAGTTTTCTCTTCATGCATATGCTACGTGCAGGTAGCCAATGGGTGAAGTTTCTTTTTGTAATTTTTTTCTTCTTGTTTTAGTCATGTTTTTTCCTTTCTTTCTGGCAGTATTGTGGAGTTTGAACTCAGGGCCTTTGTGATTACCAGGCAGCCATCTGCTTCCAAGCCATGACTTCCCACCCTTTTATCAAGATCATTTTTGAAATACCTTCTTGCCTCATGACCAGTGCATGCTTGGACCGTGATTCACCTGTTTGAGGCCTCCCATCCTATTTGGGATGTAACAGGCATATACACCAGCAAGCCTAGTTGAGGAGTCTCAAAATTTTTCTGCCCTTCTGCCACAATCCTCCCACTATCAGCCTCCCAAGGAGCTAGGATTACAGGTGTAAGCCACCTTTTAATGAAAGTACATTTATACTGGAAAGTATATAAATCACAATTTTGCAGCACAGATAAGTTTTTCCTTAGTGAATATATTTGGGGTTAAAGAAAGAGATTAAGGGCTGGGTGCTGGTAGCTCATACCTGTAATTCTAGCTACTCTGGAGGCTGAAATCTGAGAATCTCTGTTCAAGGCCAGCCCGGGCAGAAAAATCCATGAGATTCTTTATCTCTAATTAACCACCTGAAAAACAGAAGTGGTACTGTGGCTCAAGTGTTAGAGTACTTGTCTTGAGCTGAGGGACAGTGCCCAGGCCCAGAGTTCAAGTCCCAGGACCAGGGAAAAAAAATGAAGAAGCAAGATAAGACGCCAGTGTCTTCTGTGTGCTTTCCTCTTGAGTCCCAATCATAGAGATTAGTGTTTGAATTTTATCTATGGGTCTCAGTAAGCTGAAAAGAGCTCTCTCTCTCTCTCTTTCTCTCTGTCCAGTCTTTGTTCCTCTGCTGGTTGCCAGACAACTTTTAAGTACTAATGAGGATCATTCCAAAACTGGGTGTGATGGCTCACATCCATAATCCTAAATACTCAGGAGGTTGAAAGATTGATTCAGGGTGCTAGATGAGGTGATTCCCGTGTGCAACAAGTATAGGTCATTGAATGTAGCTCACGGAGCATATAATATTGCAAACCTTTTGAAACAAAAGAACTTTGACAAATGTAGATGACCTCATTATTCATAAGGGATTTAATTTGTGCCCCTTCTGTTAACGACAGTTTGCCCTGTGCTGCTGGCTAGCCCATGGCTGCACCTGCCCACCTGCCTTTTCTTGTCTGTAATAGCTTGATGAGCAAGTGCCTCTCCAGCCCAAAGCACCTGGATCCTTTGCCTTGGATATTTTGCTTCCCTGTCCTTCAGCGGCCAGCAGTGCTATGGAGTATCTAAGGTTACAAAATCTCTTTCTCTACTGGACCGCACTTGATGATAGCCAGCCATCAGATTTCATCTCTGCAGGGGTTGAGGAGCTGGTGATTTCAGTATTTCCAGTGTTTATGCTTTCAGATGCAGCGTGGCCAGCTGTGGGGTTTGTCCTGCCTTCTGTCCTCCATCTGCCTTTAACCGGGTAAAGCCTCACCTGTCCCATCCTTTCTCTTCTCTAGTGGACGTTGATGTGGAGGATTATTACCCAGCATTCTTGGACATGGTGCGGAGCCTGCTGGACGGCAACATAGACTCGTCGCAGTATGAAGACTCGCTGAGAGAGATGTTCACCATTCACGCCTACATTGCCTTCACCATGGACAAGCTGATCCAGAGCATCGTCAGACAGGTGAGGGGGCCTGGAAGCCGGGGCTGCTCAGGGCAAAGAAAAAAGGATTTGCGTGGTGTGTAAAGGGAAGGCAGTCTGCTCGTCTGACACTGAATGGATGGCTCTGAAATGGAAAGGCAGGCAAAGGATAAGGGATGGTCTCACACCATGTCGCAGTGTCACTATTCCAACCACACAACGGGCTCCCTCGCAACCCTCCGTGCTCTGGCCCTACTGTAGTCTCTGCATTCCTTCTGCCGCCCCCCCCCCTTGGAGAGCACAGGGGTCCTGGTGCTCTCTCCCCACCTCCCTCACCCCCACCTGCCTGTCTCTTCCCTTGCCTGAGATGCATGCACAGCACGTGGCATGGCCTTTCACGTAGACACTGGTCATTCTGATCAGCTGTCAGGTAGACAGCTTCTTTCCTGAAAAGCAGAGATGTTCCTGGCCCTTCCCATAAGGTATGTGAGTGGTGACTGCTGGTTTCACTATTGGATAACAGCTGGCTTCATTTACATTAAGCACAGAGTCCACTTGCCCTGTGCGGCTTTCTGCTGCTGTGGCTGGAGGTAGGAACAGAATGTGTCAGTCCACCATCTCAGCAGCTTCAAAGAGAACCAGGAAAAGCCATCAGCTGCCCACTTATGCCAGTAATCATAGTTGCTCAGGAAGTTAAGATCTGGAGGATCAAGGTTCAAAGCCAGTGGGCAGAAAAGTCTTTCCAAAGTGCTACTAGAGGTATGGCTCAAATGGTAGAGTACCAGCTGTGAGCAAGCTGAGTAAGAACACAAGGCCCTGAGTTTAGCCCCAGTGCCAGTCCCCCCTTAAATGAAAGGGAGCAATGAGACTGGTAGATACTTTTTTTTTTTTTTTGGTCAGTTGTGGGGCCTGAACTCTGGGCCACAGCACCACTTCCAGCTTTTTCTGCTTATGTGGTGCTGAGGAATCGAAACCAGGGCCTCAGGCATGCAAGGCAAGCGCTCTACCACTGAGCCACCTTCCCAGCCCTGGTAGATACTTTTAATAGATTAAGCTTTGAAACAGTAGGTGCAGTTAGTCCATTTTAGTTAGCACTATTTGTTTTGTTACTATTTGTTTTACTACTAAGTATATAAAGAGGTTACAATTCCAAAAATCAGGTTATGGCACTTCTGGTCAGTGTCACCCATCTTCCATCGCTCTCCTCCCCGTGCATACGCCCAGACATCCTTCTCAGAATCTTCCGTCTTCCCACATGACGTTGCCCCAAGCTCCTTGCTGACTGGATGGAGAACTGCTGTGTAGGTCAGGCCACAGATGGATCTTTTCCAGACTGGTTTTAGGGAGATGAATTTTCAGGGTATAGCAGACAGTGTGTGAGTCCAGGATTCATAGCATGGCTGCGCAGTGAGGACCACTGGGCGACCCCTATTCTCCTGCGTTGCCTCTTTGTCCTCAGTTCTTCGTGGCTGGACCTGCCGCATCTCCCCCAGGCCTCACCATCCCTGTGAGATCCGGCATTGCCCTCCCCCACTGGCACTGTGACCAGACATGCCTCTGGATTCCTCGTGTTGCCCTGTGCGAATACTGTCAGAGGGCGAGCACACCATGGGTTCTGCTGTTAGCAGGCAGTGTTTTGTGAATGGTGTAGCCCCACAGATGCCAGCTCCCATCCAGCTCCCGTCACTCGCCTTTCTGAATTTGCCTTGTCCAGTTATCTACAGATACCTACATTGTCATTTAAGACTGTTTAATGTGAAAAAATAGTAGTTGTCATGGCTACACCTCAAAAAGAATGTCACTTCCTAAAAATAGGTAGCTTAGTGGTTACAAGAAATTTAATATATTGGAAGTGGCGCTGTAGCTCAAGTGGTAGAGCTGAAAAACTGAGGGACAGCGCCCAGGCCTAGAGTTCAAGCCCCACGACCGATCAAAAAAAAAAAAGAAATTTAATATAGATGAATTGATAGTGACACTTGACGCTTTGCTTTGTGTGTTTGTATGTGTGCACCAGTTCCTACTTCTGGCTTTTTGGTGGGTAACTGGAGATAAGAGTCTCCAAAACTAGCCGGGCGCTGGTGGCTCACGCCTGTAATCCTAGCTACTCAGGAGGCTGAGATCTGAGGATCGTTCAAAGCCAGCCCTGGCAGGAGAGACCGTGAGACTCCTATCTCCAATAAACCACCAGAAAACCGGAAGTGGCGCTGTAGCTCAAGTGGTAGAGCGCTCGCCTTGAGCTGAAGAGCTGAGGGACAGCGCCCAGGCCCAAAGTTCAAGCCCCACGACCGACAAAAAAAAAAAAAAGAGTCTCCAAAACTTTCCTGCCCTGGCTTGTTTTAAACCACAGACCTCATACCTCTTGGCCTCCTTTGAAGGTAGAATTACAGACATGAGCCACCTGCTACTTTTTGCTTTCTTACTTGATTTTTACATTTTGTTTTGTTTTTCCGACAGTTGTAGGGCTTGAACTCGGGGCCTAGGCACTGTCCCTAAGCTCTTTTTTGCTTGAGGCCAGTGCTCTACTACTTTGAGCCATAGTGCCACTTCACATTTTCTGGTGGTTCATAATTTTTTTCCTTCTTTTAAACTCAGGGCCTCTTGTTTTGGACACCTGAGCCATACCACCAGCTCCTTCATGTTGAGCTATTAAGTACTTACTTATTTAATCATACTGAGTAGCTAGGATGACAGACATACCCCCCCATGTGCAGACATGGTTGACATTAGGTCTCAATGAATTTTTGCCCAAGCTACCTCATACCACAATCCTGCTCCTGAGAAGCTAGGGTTATAGTCATGTAATCGTTTGCCACTCTGCCTGGCTTGGAATTTTTATTTCAACATAGAAATAATCAACCTGGCACTAATGGTTCATGTCTAACATCCTAGCTAATCAGAAGACGGAGAGTTGAGAATTATGGTTCAAAGTCAGCTGTAACAGAAAAGTCCATGACTCCAGAAATACTTAGCAGGGCAGGCTTAGAGGCATAGTTCACATGGTAGCCAAGCAAGCCCATGGCCCTGAATTCAAACCCTGGAGCTAGGGGAGAAAAAAACCTAGCAGGCTGAAGATGATGTAGCTCACTGGTAGAGTGAGCTAGAATCTGTCACATTTCATGTTCAGTGCCACAATTTTATTTTCTATTTAAGAAATAGCCTATAATCTTTGAGAACAGCATCTCTTGAAGGTTCGACTTTGTGGTCATTGAATTGTTACTGCAGGGCCCTAGGTTAGACCCCCAGCACTGGGGAGATGGCAAGAAGAATGCTTGAAGATGGGCTCCCCGTCATTGGATATGCTGTCTTGAAGATGAACCGATGGGGGAGTAGCGCTCCTGTGACAAGCCTTTGCCTTGTCCCTCCCATGGGCAGCTCACGCGTGGCACTTCCTGTCCGTAGTCTCTCCCTCTGGTGTCACGCTGGCGTGGGTCTCACGGGAGTGTGGCCTGTGTCATTGCAGCTGCAGCACATTGTCAGCGATGAGATCTGCGTGCAGGTGACGGACCTTTACCTGGCAGAAAACAATAACGGGGCTACTGGAGGGCAGCTGAGCTCACAGAGCGCACGGAGCCTGCTGGAGTCCACGTACCAGCGGAAAGCGGAGCAGCTCATGTCTGAGGAGAACTGCTTTAAGGTAAGAGCCACTCAAGTGACCAAGACCTTGCTGGGGAGGGCACAGTTATTAGGCTCTGCCAAGCACATGCTTTCCGTCCTGGAGCTCCTCAGGAGTTCCTGGCGGAGGCATTACCGAGACTACTGAAGTGGCCAGGTGCCGTTGGCTCACAGCTGGAATCCTAGCTACTCAGGAGCCTGAGCTCTGCAGATCACCGTTTGAAACCAGCCTGGGCAGGAAAGTCTGTGAGATTCTTATCTCCAATTAACTACTAAAAAGGTGGAAGTGGTGTTGTGGCTCAAGTGGTAGAGCACTTGCCTTGAACAAGATAAGCTTAAGGACAGTATCCAGGTCCTGGGTTCAAGCCCCAGGACTGGGACACACACACATAACATCAGTTACTATATATTTTTTGTATTCAGCTTTGTAGTTTTTTGCTTTGAAGATTTTACGTAGTATAAATTATTGCTTTGTAAATATTGTTGAAAAACTTAGGCAATAAAATCTATTGTCATGCTTAACATAAAGTAGAAAATGGACAACCAAAAAAATCACTCAAAATTTATCCCAGAAAGGAAGTGGCTCAAGTGGTAGAGCGCTCGCCTTAAGCTGAAGAGCTGAGGGACAGCGCCCAGGCCCAGAGTTCAAGCCCCACGACCGACCAAAAAAAAAAAAAACTTGGCAATAATCTTTGGGGCTGGGAAGATGGCTCAGTGGTAGAGCACGTGCCTTGCATGTCTGAGGCCCTGGGTTCGATTCCTCAGCACCACATAAGCAAAAAGAAAAAAGCCAGAAGTGGCGCTGTGGCTCAAGTGGTAGAGCGCTAGCCTTGAGCTGAAGAGCTGAGGGACAGAGTTCAGGCCCCACAACCGGACCAATAAAAAAAAAAATTTATCCCAGAAAATGATCAGTGGACCTCATCCTGAACAAAATGTACTGTAACTTATTTTGCTCAATTAGCAATGTCCCTGGCTGCTCTCACATGTTTTATGCTAAATTGGTTTTTCATTTTCTTCTTTTTTTGTGTGTGATGTCTTTTGTGATGTAGCCCAAGCTGGCCTCAGACATGAGACCCTTTGTCTCATCTTTCCAGAGTCTGAGATGAGATTCCTGCTATGGACTAACATGCCTGACTGTATTTATTCTGTTGGTGGTGGTGGTGGTGCGTGGTGTTGGTCATGGGGCCTGAACTCTGGGCCTGGGCACTGTCCCTCAGCTCTTGAGCTCAAGGCTAGCGTTCTACCACTTGAGGCACAGCGCCACTTCTGGTTTTTTCCTACTTATGTGGTGCTGAGGAATTGAATCCAAGGCCTCATGCATGCAAGGCAAGCACTCTACTACTGAGCCATCTTCCCAGCCCTTTTTTTTTTTTTTGTCAGTCGTGGGGCTTGAACTCTGGGCCTGGGCGCTGTCCCTCAGCTCTTCAGCTCAAGGCAAGAGCCTTGAGCTATAGCGCCACTTCCGGTTTCCTAGTGGTTTATTGGAGATAAGAGTTTCACGGACTTTCCTGCCCAGGCTGGCTTTGAACCTCGATCCCCAGATCTCAGCCTCCTAAGTAGCTAGGATTACAGGCGTGAGCCACCGGCGCCTAGCCTTTTTTTTCTTTTGTATTGTCAGTCATGGACCTTGAACTTGGGGCCTCGGTGCTGTCCCTGAAATTTCATTTCATAGAATAAATGCCTATCAGGTTGGGCACTGGTTGTTTCCAATATTTGACCACTGTTCTAGCTGATTATAAAAGCAAATAATTGGAACTGAGGACCTGGGCACTGTTCCTGAGCTGAAGCTCAAGGCTAGCACTCTACCACTTGAGCCACAATGCCACTTCCAGTTTTCTGACAGTTAATTGGAGTTAAGAGTCTCACAGAAAGCCATGCACTGGTGGCTCACACCTATAATCCTAGCTACTCAGGAGGCTGAGATCTGAGGATCGCAGTTCAAAGCCAGCATGGATAGGAAAGTCCATGAAACTCTTATCTCCAATAAAAACCACCAGAAATCTGGAAGTGGCACTCTAGCTCAAGTGGTAAAGCACTAGCCTTGAATTGAAGAGCTGAGGGACAGCGCTCAGGCCCAGAGTTCAAGCCCCACCATCATGGCAGATTTTCCTGCCCAAGCTGGCTTCAAACTGCAATCCTCTGATCTCAGCCTCCTGAGTAGCTAGGATTACAAGTGTGAGCCACCAGCACCCGGCACCTACACAAAATCCTGTAACTCATTGCCTCCATAGCTTGGGAAAGCTTATTTGTCCTGGAGGTTCTGTTTTTTACACTCTGGCTTCTCATTTACAGCTTATGTTCATTCAAAGTCAAGGCCAGGTTCAGCTGACTATTGAGCTTCTGGACACAGAGGAGGAGAATTCAGATGACCCTGTGGAGGCTGAGGTATGGGCAAGTATCTCCCACCCCCACCACCCCATGCCAGGAAGTGTTGCTGCCTGAGTCTGCCAGGCAGCCCTGTTCTCAAGGGGACTTAGATGTGTTGGGCATGGTGAGAGTCGGGATCCTCAGCTTTAGAGAAGGAAGGGGTGCCCAGTTCTCTGTTCCTCTCCACTGAGGAAATACCATGGTTGGCAGCTTTCCTGCACAGGAAATAGCACGGGGTACCCAGGGCCCCTCTGGCGGCGCAGTGTCCAGTCCACGTGGTGCTCTGTTCTCACTGGTTGTCGAGCAGCCAGGAATTGAGACCTGATCGAGCAGGCCATGACACAGGTGTTTGGCTGGCCAGCAAGGTGACAGACGTGCAGGCACACGCTGTGTGGTTGAAGATTATAACAGGAAAATATTGGCTTCTGGTTGTGAAATTTTTCTTCCACCCTCCCCAAGAGGTACCAGAAATGCAGATTTGGGGTGGCACTGGGGTCTGAACTCAGGGCTGGCACTTGCCAGGCAGGCGCTTGAACCCTGGAGCTGCCCACCTAAGTCCGGGCTGGTGTGCAAGATACTGATTGCAGACATAGTCTCCCTATGTACATTTCCTTTAAAACCTCACGTAGGGAAAGTGGCGCTGTGGCTCAAGTGGTAGAGCGCTCGCCTTGAGCTGAAGAGCTGAGGGAAAGCGCCCAGGCTGAGAGTTCAGGCCCCACGACCGGACCCAAAAAAAAAAAAAAACACGTAGGTAAATTTTTGTCAGTGAGCCAGTTTCTACCGACTTCTGATATCCATCTCGAGCTAGTCGTTAGCCAGCCTGTAGCTGATAGAATTTTAAAATCTGTTTTTAATACTAAGTAGCCAACGTTTTATTGGGGAACAAGACTTGCTGACCCTTTTGCCATGGTGGGGATGAAACTCCCCTGAGAGACAGTCTTTCTCTCGTGGCTCTGCCCCTTAAGTGCTGGGCCTATAGGCGTGTGCCACCAAACGCATCTGACTTACTTTGATGTTGGAATTTTTTCTTTGGTACCAGTACTGGGGCTTACGTACAGGCCTTTGTGCTCTTACGTGAATTTTTTTTCTCATGCCTGTCGCTTTGCCACTTGACTCATGACTCCACGCCTCTTCTTTTTCTTTTTTTTTTTTTTTTTTTTTTGTTTTCTGCTGATATATTGGATTTTGGCACATGGGTTGGTTTCTAACCTTGATCCTCAGATCTCAGATTCCCAAGTCACTAGGATTACAGGCATGAGCCACAAGCACCTGCTTGCAATTCTGGAGATTTTAATCAAAGAATCGAATTGTATGATGGTCATAGAATTAGACTGCGTGATGTGGATGAGGCGTAGGTTCTGTGCTTTTCCTGCACTTCCATGTTGCATGTCTCTTCCTAGCGCTGGTCAGACTACGTAGAGCGCTACATGAACTCCGACACTACCTCTCCTGAGCTCCGGGAACATCTGGCCCAGAAACCAGTGTTTCTCCCCAGGTGAGTATGCTTAGTGTGCACGGTGGGGCATCCATGAATGCAGACTTGGGAGTGCTGACGCCAGCCATTGCTCTCTGCATGCTTATATTGAGCGTGCCCAGAGCCTGGCGGGGCATCCCTCCTCAGGAGGAAGGACCGCCAGGGTTTCTGGACTGCCTCAAGTAGTCAGCATCTAGTCATGTTCATAGTGAGGAGCTGTTACAGCTGAGGCACCAGAGCAGATCAGCAAAGGGAAAGGGGAGGAAGCCAAAGAGAAGCTTCCAGGCCAGGAGTCCTCCACGCACGGGACAACGCTCTTACCTCCTGCTCTTCCACGCATGGAACACCCTCCTCCTCCTCCTCCACGCACGGAATGCCCTCACCCCTTCTTCCACGGACAGGACTCCCTCAGCTCCTCCTCCATGCACGGAATGCCCTCACCCCTTCCTCCACGGACAGGACTCCCTCAGCTCCTCCTCCACGCACGGAATGCCCTCACCCCTTCCTCCACGGACAGGACTCCCTCAGCTCCTCCTCCATGCATGGAATGCCCTCACCCCCTCTTCCACGGACAGGACTCCCTCAGCTCCTCCTCCACGCACGGAATGCCCTCACCCCTTCCTCCACGGACAGGACTCCCTCAGCTCCTCCTCCATGCACAGAATGCCCTCACCCCTTCCTCCACGGACAGGACTCCCTCAGCTCCTCCACGCACAGGCGAGGCGCTGCCTCTGGGAAGACTCATTAGAGGCTGTGAGGGCTTTGCCCGTGCTGGTCATGGAAACAGCCTTCCTGTGTGAAAATCCCAGACTCAGATAACAGCAAGTGTTAGGAGAAGCCACATTGCATGTGTATGGTTTTCAGCATACCCATTCCCTGGTGATTCGAGGTGGTAGAATGCACTTCACGACCTCACGATCACATGCACGGTGGCCCAGGGCAGTTACAGAGCTGCTAGGATACTCCCTGTGTCCTGTTACATTTGCTCCTCCTCTGAGTATAAAATGTTTCAGGGGCTGGGAATGTGGCTTAGTAATAGAGAGCTTGTATCCCTGGGTTTGATTCCTCAGTACCACATAAACAGAAAAGGCTGGATGTAGCACTGTGGAGAGCACTAGCAAAAGAAGCTCAGGAAGCTGGGCGCCAGTGGCTCACGCCTGTCATCCTGGCTACTCAGGAGGCTGAGATCTGAGGATCGTGGTTCAAAGCCAGCCCGGACAGAAAAGTCCTGAGACTCCTACCTCCAATTAGCCACTAGAAAACCAGAGGTGGTGCTGTGGCTCAATTGGTAGAGTGCTCGCCTTAAGCTGAAGAATACAGGATAGCACCCAAGCACAGAGCTCAAGCCCCACAACCAACCAAGAAAAAAAAAAAGAAGCTCAGGAACAGTGCCCAGGCCCTGAGTTCAAGCCCCAAGACTGGCAAAGAAACATAAATCATGTTTCAGAAGTAGAAAATAAAGAGTAACTGAATGGTGGTAGTTTAATCCCAGCACTCAAGAGGTAGAGGCAAAAGGATCACAAATTTAAAGCCAGCTTTGTATACTATAGTTCCAGGCCAACCTGGGATACTCCAAGAACCTATGCATAAATGAATTCATTAGGCTCAGTCCTCATGAGGACAGGGACAGTGGTGTCCACAGAGAGGTCCAGTCACTCATTACCATTGTGCAGGATTCAGGCCAACCACCTCGGCTGCCACTAGTGGTGCGTGCCTGTGACCCTGGTTAAGGTCTTGGGTGGTTTGAGGCTAGCTTGGATAGCAAGTTCAAGAGACTCTATACCTCCAGTTAACCAGCAGAGAAGTTGCATGGGAGGTGGGGCTCGAGCCACGTAAGACTGCAGCCCTGATTTCAAGCCCTCATGCAGGCCAATAAAAAGAGAACTGCAGCTGGGTGCGGTGGCTTATACCAGTAATCCTAGCTAATCTCCAATAAGCCACTCTGAAACCCAGAAGTGGCGATGTGGCTCAAGTGGTAGAGCCCTGGCCTTGAGCTGAAGAGCTGAGGGACAGAGTTCAGGTGCAGAGTTCAAGCCCCATGAACAACAAAAAGAGAACCGCCCCATACAAAGAGATCTCTTCCTTTTAATAGTACAAGGTTAAGGAATGGAAACTTGAGTTGGCAGAAATTCATTTTCACATTAGTGGCCTCTTGGGAATTAGAATCCTAAAACCAGATTCTCACCTCGGAGGCACCTGCCCCTGACAGTGCCCCAAAGCGCTCCTTCGTTTTAGTGTGGCACTTGTGCATGTAGCTGCCTTGATTAACTTTAGGTAATAGAAGCCTGTCACTGTCACTGGACAGGAATGCCCAAGACTCTTATCTCCAATAAACCACCAGAAAACCGGAAGTAGCCCTGCGGCTTAGGTGGTAGAGCGCTAGCCTTGAGCTGAAGAGCTTAAGGACAGTGCCCAGGCCCAGAGTTCAGGCCCCATGACCAACAAAGAAAAGGGTCCCACAGGTTTGAGTTGGTTCATCATCCCAGCGCAGGTAGAAGGGGTCCCTGGTTCGAGGTTATTCCGGGCTCTGGTGGGGAAGCCGCGGCGGGTGGGCAGGGCTGCCGCCTCCGTGGTGTGGCCTCCCTGGAGGCCGAGGCGGGGCACCGGGGTGACTGTCCCCCGGCCCTCTGCCTCCCAGGAACCTGCGGCGGATCCGGAAGTGCCAGCGCGGGCGGGAGCAGCAGGAGAAGGAGGGCAAGGAGGGGAACAGCAAGAAGCCGGCGGAGAGCGTGGACAGCCTGGACAAGCTGGAGTGCAGGTTCAAGCTCAACTCGTACAAGATGGTGTATGTCATCAAGTCCGAGGACTACATGTACCGCCGCACCGCGCTGCTGCGCGCGCACCAGGTGAGCCGCGCCGCCCCCCACCGCACACTCCTCACACGCCTCCTCACTTTCACGCACACTGCACCTCCTGCACAGCTGGCCGCTTTGGCATGTCTTGCGGGGTGGAGGGCAGAGGGTTTCCATCTTCCTTCAGAGGGCAGACAACCCCCGCGGCCTTCTTAAGGCTTATTTTTGTTATTGTAGAATTGATGTAGAGAGGGGTTATGGTTAAATGAGTCAGGTAATGATTCTTTTTGAACTGTGTCTCCCTCTCCCCCTCCACACCCCACTTTTTTGGGGGGTCCCGGGGCTTGAACTCAGCCAAAGTGCTGCCCCTGAGCTCCTCAGCTAAAACTATGCCTGGGCTGGCTTTGAACCGAGATCCTCAGATCTCAGCCTCCTGAGTAGCTAAGGATGACATGCGTGAGCCACTGGCGCCTGTCTCCCCACCCCCACCCCCCTTTAAAAATTTTTAAACCAGCGATAGTAAGAGCTGAGCCACAGCTTCCTCGCTGCAGAAGCAGTGGTGGCTTCCATTCGTGTGGCATCCCCAATTTCTGTTTTGCAGTCCCACGAGCGTGTGAGCAAGCGTCTGCACCAGCGGTTCCAGGCCTGGGTGGACAAATGGACCAAGGAGCATGTACCTCGTGAGATGGCAGCGGAGACCACCAAGTGGCTCATGGGCGAGGGGCTGGAGGGCCTGGTGCCCTGCACCACCACCTGCGACACGGAGACCCTGCACTTCGTCAGCATCAACAAGTACCGCGTGAAGTACGGCCCCGCGTTCAAGGCGCCCTAACCCGGGCCCGAGGAGCCCGAGGCACAGGCCAGGCTGCAAGCAAGGGTGCTTCCAGCCTCACTGGGCCTGCAGGCACCGAGGGGGATACCGATAGGAACGGGGCGCCTGACAGCCGGAGCTACCCAGAAGGGAAGGAAGCCCAGGCAAGCGCACAACCCCACAGCGTGCTTGCCCACACCAGCAGGGAACCACCAGCGTCTCCACCGCCCTACCTTCAGGAAGGAGCGGGGTGCTGCTCAGGCGGACGCACCGGGAGCGCGGCACCGCTGCCGGCCTCTACTCTCTCCCCAGACAGGAGAGACACCGGACCTGGTGTTTTGTTTCATTTTCTGGTCACGAGCACATCTAAGATAAGCCATTGGGTTTCGTGTGGGCTCCCAGCGTGGCTTCCGGATGGGTCGTCGTGTGGGTCTGGTGTCCGCCCACCCCACTCCCCTCTTCCGGTTCTCAACACGTACAACTCCGTCGTCCTTTCTAGCTCCCGTGGAACTGTTTTGTACCTGCTTCTTTACTAGTCCGCCCTAGTCCATCCACCAGCTTTCTCTCTCTCTCTCTCTCTCTCTCTCACACACACACACATACACACACACAATTTTAACTTGGGTTTTCTTTTGTAAATAATGTACATATTGTCAATTTTTTATTAAAAGAACTCTGCTTTGATGTGCTAGCATAACTGCTGTAGCTCCTTGTGTACCGTGGTGCTGTGTGGCTTCAGGTTTAGTGCTACGACAGGTGTACAAGGCATTTATTACACTTTCTACCAAAGGGACTTAACCATTGTAGTACTTTTGTGTAAAACTTGTCTTCCCCTTTGCCCCGACTTTTTTTCTTTTTTTTTCTTTTTCTTTTTTTTGTAAATAAATAAAGCTTGGTTCTTAAGGAATACTCAATCTTCAGTCCCTTGTCCTCACGAGAGTAAGGCAAGGTGCTGGCCTCGGTGATCTCTCCGCTGCTGCTACTTCATAATACTAAATAGCTTTAGTATGCTCCCCCCCCCTTCAAGTATTTACAAATATTTTATATTTGGGTTGTCAAGCGATTGACAATTTACTGATTTCTATCTATGTATTCTTATCCTATTGGCACTAAGGGTGACTAAGGTAAATGCCAAACCAGTAACCGAAAGAAGTATGACTAAAGTGTGTGCTGTGTAAGTGGAGTTTGATACTATTTGCAGTTGCTAAGGAAATGTGTATACACACACGCACACTTCTAAAACTTTTACACAGACTTAAATATTAATGACTAGGGCTTTTATGAGAAAAGATTGACTAGCCCTTCACAGCACTCAGGTGTGTATTTTCTGAGCAACCATCACCTAGTTGTAGTTTTGCTTGGGTGCTTTGGTAAAAATTTACTTAAAAATCCCCAACACCACCACAAAGAAAAACGTTTTTTGGCTGCTGGATCTCCACAAACACAAGGCAGACACTCAGAAACTTGCTGAGGCTGACCTTGAAACCTGGGTCCTGAGTGTTAGGATTGCACATAACTCAGCCCTGGGCTTTTCTTGTAGCAGTGGAGCAGGCGCTCTGTGGACACGGATGCGGCCTAGCAAGGCTGATGCTGGAGAATGGTTGGCGTGTATTTTAGGGGAATACAATTTCCCTATTCCACTCTGCTCCCTCCACAAACACCATGTTGGCTTGACCACCACCACCACGGCACCAGCCACAGGCGCCCGCCCTGCCTGCTGGTGTCAGCAGCAGCTGTCAGGCTCGTAACTTCCAGCCTCATGCAACGATAAAAGTGGGGCTGGTAGCTCACGCCGCCCTGCGGATCGCGGTGGGCAGCCAAGTCCGAGAGACTATCTCCAATTAACCAGCAGAAGACCTGAAGTGGCGCCGTGGCTCAAAGTGGCGGAGCGCTCGCCTTGAGCTGAGGGGCGGCGCCCAGGCCCAGAGTTCAAGCCCCACGGCCGGAAAGAAGAAATGCCAGGGCTAGCGTGTGCATGTGCATTTTACGAGCAGGACATCAGCCTCCGAAGGAAAACACAAGTGCCACGCAAGGTGAAGGGTCCGCCAGCGGAGTCAAAAGTCCCGCCCGGGCTGGCGCGCACATCCGGCCCGCGGCGGGGAAGCGTTTCCGGGGCGCACGGTCCTCGCCGCGGGTCGGCCCG